GGGAAGATTGTTCTGCTTAAATTGATCTCTCGAGCTAGTGGCTGCGATTTTTTTCGGAGGAGGTACAGGGTTTTGGAGTTTTTGTGAGGAGTTCTTCACTTTTTCAGCCGGTTCTCCGGCTGCCCAGATTTGCAACAGGTGGCAAGTGCATTAGCCGTCTGCATCCTCCACCGGAGGTCAAACAGGACGCGGTCGCTCGATCCTTCCCGTGAATCTCTCAACTCATCTCTGATTTGGCAGAGATGAGTTAGTAGATTGCCATAATGGTAAGCCACCACCGTCAACTACCGCATGGTATTACCATCGCGAATACGTGAGCCGCCAACGGCAACTGGTAGATGGTACAGCCATCGCGATTGCGCGAGCCCCTACCAGAAATTCGTTGCGCCGCCCTTGGGGGCAAAAAACGGTGAAAGCTAACGTACGAAATCATAGGGCAGCATACGGTGCGATCGCGCGACCCTGCCCTTGAGCAATCTCCCAACTCATCTCTGCTAATCTCTGTAGATACATGCTGATAGATGCCACAATGCTTGGCACTCGCGACCCATGATCACTGTGGTGTCCTGACCAGTCCTGACCATTTTCACTTCGGTTCCCCCGCGCGTCGGCACGGAAACTGTGCGCATACCACAGCGCCATCTATGGAGTCTCCCCTGAACCTCTTCACGAATGAGAATGCCGTCGATAATTGAGAAATATTTCGCGCCACGTTGTTTTAAAGTCGAACGATGCACGTAAAACGTTCCTCGCCATTCTCTAAACTGCTAACGGCATCTTACCACGGCGGCTTATCCGGGGCAACTGCCGGTCCGTCGGTCCGGGCCGCGATGCGGCTCCCGGATTGGACGAAACCGTTTTGCCGGGCCTCGGACCCACTCGGACTGCCCAGCATGCTTGCAGAGATCATCTCTGATGCTGGTAAGCAAATGTAGCGGTCTGAAATACCAGGACTGTCTGGGAGAAACCGACGGACCCATTAGTTGAGACCGCTAGATCTGTTTATGAGTGTGCTCCAGCCAGCGACCCGACAAAACACGGCTTTGCCCAATAACTATATTTACAATAAAACTGCGTTATTTGGGTTTTCAGTACAAACACGATAAACAATACACATGTAATTAAGTAAGATGATTTCCTGGGATAAAGTTGCTGCGATTACTCATAACTAATGTACAATGAATTAATTTATTATAAAACGTTGTTACATCGCTGATACGGTACACTTATTAACACTAGTGACCGAAACAACATGACCACAAAATAGTATTTATGGTCCAATGTCAAGCATCCCTTTCCTCTTTCTCTCTTTCTACAGCTCTCTGTGCGTATGCGCCCATGTATGTGCACCACCATATATGGGCCTTATCTCCAGGCACGAGTATTTGTCTATTTATGCCTATTTTTTAATTCGGCAGTCGAGATACAAGCAAGTAATCTCTTTATCGTACGAGAATTGAAAGCTAAGTGTCAGGTAATTTACAGCATCGACGAATTCACTGCTTCGATTTAACCACTGGAAAACAGAATACCGAAGACATATTCATTTTTTCCACTCATGCCAGTGTCAGTATTGTAATTAATAATAATCTTTGCAGCTGTACAGTGAGTACCACGTTGTTTTCCATTTGTGAGGAGGCAGTGATTCTTTTTTTTTTTACATATTGACACTAGTTTCTTAAGCGACGGAATCTCAAACTTCTCCTTTCTCTTTTATATCAACTATCATCCTATGTCGAACTATCATGGAATAATAGTCACGGTCTTGGCAATATCGGAGCCATTTTATAAAACGCACGATAACGTTTGGTAGGGTAATACGATTGGTCGTTTCAACCGTTTGATGACTCATCGATGGGTGAGTTTGGTAGATCATTGGCACATTACGGGTGTATCATCTATGATACGAAAGAAGCGTAGCTGCCCACAGAACTCTTTGCCAGATCCAGCGTGGGACACGACACGGCCCAAGACTAGCCATTGCACCAGCTAAATGTCTCATCCAATCCCAAAGTCCCCAAGGTGCATGGCCACCGTTAACGTAAAGAACGTACGTAAAGCCATCTTTACATTTACCCCGAATGGAATAATAATAGGGTAGAAAACTATGTAACCGAAAGTGACATTTTTGGTAAAAGAGGATAGCGGGTGCATTACTGGATAGTACATGTAAGAAAACTGCCTTCACTGAGGATCGTTCGGGCACAGTGACATATTCTAAGAGTTGTTCCAATAGAAGGGAAGCGATGCCGTTTCTTCGATACGCCCGACGCACTCCTAAGCTCAAAATGTACCCCACTAGGCAATCTTTCCCGAGGCTGGAGCATAAGATACCACGGTCCTCCTTGCTCAGTTCGACGTACGGCTTGATTTCTGCTACAATTAAACCGAGTATCACGCCGCCGTAAACCGCAGCGAGTGCATAAAATCGAGAAGAGCTCGTAATATCCTCGTACCATTTATAGGGATAATCTAAACAAAGAACTGTGGTTAATTGTCAATTATTGGAAAGGAGACTCTGCATTCGCTGCCAGAGCTTACCAATGGGAAACCAATCTTGACAGAGGGACCGTACTTCACCCAAGTCTTCGGGACACAAGAAACGAAGCTGAACCTCGCCCAGAACGCAGAGTGGAACTGTCACCGAAGGAATAGGGGCTTCCGACACCGGAGTGCAACGAGGAAGAGGGGAATAGTGTTTTATAGAGCTCGTGCGTTCAACATCATCGTCACCTTCGCTGTCATCGCCAGCGTCAACTCTGAATTCGCACTTCTTCGCGTCCGGTGGACCCAGGCCGTACCGATTAAACGATGTGGCCATCGCGCCACAATTCCTCTTGCATTTTACTGCACATTTGTTAGCCGATTCCTTGCCCTGCTACACGCAGTGTCAATGTTACCTTGTAAACATACCGCCATAGAATACAAAAGAAGGAGGAAGGGAGCACATAAGAGCCGTTAGAACCAAGATGGCTACGTCGGAGACGAAATTGGCCAGGGTCACGAGCGCAGCGCGTCCACGCGGCGACAACGAGAAACCAATCGAAACCATTGCAGAAATGACGCCCGAGCCTCAACACTTACCGTTCGCTGTTTTGAAAACGCGCCAATCAACATTATAGGTTATGATTGGCTGGCGAGGCCGCTGAAGACGTCCGCAAATCGCGGCGAGGCGCGAGCGCACGTCAACGGCGAGGCCGTGAAAATCAAACATGGCGTCCGTGAGGTTATCGTCGTGAGCGGTGGGTCCGTTTTCTATGGTTAACGCGAAATTGTCGCAGGTACAGCGGGCTGACGCGGTGCGCCGCGTCCTCGAGGAGGCGTTCCCGCGACTTCGAGGCCGGGCACGAGTCGCGGCCACACGGTCGAGAGCCAATTCCGGGCCGAGAGCCGTGCGCGTAAACAGTGGCTTGTGGGTATACACACCCTGACGCGAGAGCGAACCCCGAGTGTTTTGCACGGCCTTTGGAGCGCCGGTGGATCGGTGCGGTCCCGTCGCGGCGCCGGCCATCCCGGCCCGTTGGCCGAGTCTCCGGAGTCCGCCGAGGTGCCGCGACCTCCCCGAGCCGAGGAGAAGGCCAAAATGCCGGTCCACGGGAAACTGTTTTTGTGCACGGGGTGGCGGCGGTGGTGGCGGTCGTGGTGGTGGTAACGACCAGGTAACCGCGGCCGGGCTTTCGAGGGACCGCGCGCCGTTCTCCACGGCGACAGACGTGCGATTCTCGAGATCGAGCCCGACCCGCCTCCGCGACACATGAATTCGCCTCGAGAGACCCGCCGCTCCGGAGATGGAAATCGGTTCGGAGGTGTTTCCCTCGACTCGATGTCGATCGACGCTCTAGTCGCTCCCCGGAAGGCATAGGAAACTTTGACGGCACCTTATGAATCTCCTCTGCACGAAGGGGCTCGTAAAGTGCGTCGTGGTTACCATATCGGAGCCAGGCAGGCAGGATAGGTTGCAAGGAACGGCAGAGGCGGGAGAGCGTCGAGCCTTATGCCGCCAGCTGGGATATCGGCGAGAGGCTCCTCCGTCTTGATGGACCACGGACACCCGGATGCTCGTCATCGGAGCGAGCGGTTTTTACTCTACTCGGAGAATGGCTCCTCACATTCCCATACACCCGGTACAACAAATTCCTCTCCGAGGTATCAACACGGTGTCAGGCAGAACAGTCAATCCTCTAGGTGAGTTTTCGATGCGTTTTGGAAGGTATGTAGGGTTTAAATAACTTGGTCTCTTCTGGCGTAGCTACGGATATTTGTACGGACGCGCGTCGAGCAACAATATGTCTGACAGCAGCGTGTCCGACACTCACAGCGGCGGCACGGCTAGGACGGTGTCGCAGCAAACGAGCCCGTCGCATGGCACGCATTCCTCTTCTCAGTCTCGACAGGACAACAGTTCTATCATTTTCACGGCTCTGTATGATTACATTGCTCAGGGTGAAGATGAGTTGTCGCTGGAAAGAGGCGAAACGGTTGAGGTAATTCTTTTACGCAAGAGTAGCGATGCTATAGTATTAGCGTCAAGGATATCGTTTAATCAAATTGTTATATTCTATCAGGTTCTGTCGAAAGATTCTAAAATATCAGGAGACGAAGGGTGGTGGACGGGAAAGATACGGGGGAAGGTCGGCATTTTTCCAGCAAATTTTGTCGCCGAGGCGGAAAGTATCGACAGGGTGTCATCGGTGATCGATAAGGTGCAGCCAGTAGAAATAGACTTTGAAGAATTACAATTAGAGGAGGTGATCGGTGTGGGTGGTTTTGGAAAGGTGTATAGGTACGAGCAGTTATGGTTGCATGCTTAAAGTTGGAGGAATACAAAGTTATAAAGTGTTTCTACGTTTTGCAGAGGATTCTGGCAGAAACACGAAGTTGCGGTAAAAGCAGCCAGACAAGACCCTGATGAGGAGCCTAGTGTCACGTTAGAAAATGTTCGACAGGAGGCCAAACTCTTCTGGTTGCTTAAACACGAGAACATCGTGCAATTGGAGGGAGTATGCCTCAAGATGCCGAATATGTGTCTTGTAATGGAATATGCTCGCGGCGGAAGTCTCAACAGGGTCTTGAGTGGTAGAAAAATCAGGCCAGACGTACTTGTCGACTGGGCGATACAAATTGCTCGAGGCATGGATTATTTGCATAATAAAGCTCCGATCAGTCTTATACATCGAGACTTAAAAAGTTCGAACGGTGGGTTCTTGTTTGTCACCTTTCATGCCATAAAACGTTCGAAAGACTAAACGTTCTAACAAATTAAACGTTAAATAATAAAATTACAGTACTGCTGAGCGAGCCGATAGAGAACGATGATCTTCAATACAAAACGTTGAAGATAACCGACTTTGGCTTGGCTAGAGAGGTTTACAAGACTACTCGCATGTCGGCTGCAGGCACGTATGCATGGATGGCTCCCGAAGTTATAAAGAAAAGTACATTCAGTAAAGCCAGCGACGTGTGGAGGTGATTGTTTATTATTGTAATAGCTACACGTTACTTGCTTTTGTACAAGCTATTCACCTATTGTTTCTAAATAAATTCACAGCTACGGTGTACTTCTGTGGGAACTCCTAACCGGTGAAACCCCTTACAAAGGGATCGATGCTTTAGCCGTTGCTTATGGCGTTGCAGTTAACAAGCTTACATTACCGATTCCATCAACGTGTCCACAGCCTTGGAGGTATCTAATGGAAGGTAAGACATTTAAATAACGCGTTAGAATCTCCTGGGAAATGTGAATGATTTATTAAGGTCTTGTTGAATTTCTTGTGCAGCTTGCTGGTCTTCGGATAGCCATTGCAGGCCTGGATTTGCAGAAATATTGGTTGCCCTGGATGAAGTACGAAGTGCATTCGCCGCTACTCCACACGAGTCGTTTCATACAATGCAGGAGGACTGGAGATTGGAGATCGAACAAGTACTCCACGGGTTGCGCATGAAGGAAAAGGTACGCCCGAGTACAATGTCTTCTAATTAGCCATCTCGTGTGATCAATGGATCCAATTATGACTGCGTGAAAACTATCGATTTTATGTCGATAAGAACCTATATCTCGATAAAGATGGACCTAATGAGATCATCTCGTTACTCGGCCCCGCGTGATTTCATTAGACCGATTATTCTGCCAATCTACGCGAACTCGTTGCATTTCAGCACTATTCTCTTACAACCATTATCTATCTTTTTCCTTCATTCATAATAAAAAAAATATCAACGAACTGAGGTCATGCAAAAAAGCATGAGTTTCTCGTACTTAAAGTAGACTTCGAAGCTGCAAAAATTACGATTTGAACACTTGCGACGTTTCCGTGGACCTTTGTACAATAGTATTTATGTATGGAATTTGTTCACATGCTATGCGAAGGCATGCCGCTCCCTAGAAGAGGTAAGACAATGCTGAATTCTATGTTGAACCGGTAGTACCAGGTGAATTATCGTTCACGATTTGACATTGAAACGACGACACATTAATATCAATGAACTCGTACTCGAGATGAATTCTTATATTTCTAACGAACTACTCTGCCGGTTTCGGTATCCGTACGGAGAGCTTTATTCTCAATTAAGCGTCCACTTAAGTTATCGGAACGGAATCGGAAAGATATCGAGCTATGGCCTTTATCGGTCCTCTCGTTCGGCAGGAGTTGCGCTGCAGGGAGGAAGAACTGACGAAGGCGCAGGTGCAACAGCGACAACACGAGGAGAACCTGCGACAGAGGGAACAGGAGTTGGCCGCTCGAGAAATCGATTTGCTGGAGCGCGAGCTCACCGTCATGATAATCCAGCAACAGAACACGCCGACTCCTAACAAGAGACGCGGAAAATTCAAGAAGTCGAGGCTGAAGCTGAACAAGAAGGAGCCGGGGAGCAACATCAGCGCACCATCCGGTAAGTCGAGAATCATCTGGCCTGACGTCGACAGCGAACGGGCATACAACCGCCTCGACCGTGTACGAATATTTCCTAACACGATGACTCGTTTTGAAGATTTCCGTCATACGATAACTGTCCAGCATACGGCATTGGACCGGGGGAAGACCAGGAACCCGTCGAGGCCGAACAGCCCGCCAGGCTCCCCGAGTATACCGAGGCTTCGAGCCATAGCTCGTAAGTTGACCGCTCCGACAACGTATCGTATATCCGCCACGGTCTCTTCGACGAGGCCCTCGTTCTTGTCCACGTAATAGACGGTGTTTCCATTTCGAAAGTTACTTGATTAGCGGGTACGTCGAGCCCGTCGAGCAACTCAGTTTGTGCTTAGTAGTCACGTTTGAAGTCTGTTCGGTATTAAAGCATCCATAACGGCATGGTGTGATTAGTCTCGAAGTATATATCCTTAAGTTGACGCCTCTCTTTTGATATACATATATATATATACAGCCATGAGCGATGTCTTTGCTTTTGATCGTACCTCCCGTTGTATATCTTAATTTATTTTTTGGTCTCTCTCTTTCTCTTTCTCTCTCTGTATAGGATGTTTTTTTTTTTGTTTCCCTCCCGTCCCGTCGACCATCCGTCTACAGTCTCGATCGCACGCGGTCCTTCGCGTGGACGATGATACGCCCCCGAAGACGGTCCTCGGCGAATGGGCGTTCGTCGGGGACCGTCTTCGGGGAGGGTCGATGAGAGAGGTATCACGCTATTGCCGAGCCGAAGTAGTTAGTACGGTAGCGAGTAGCGTTTTGTTTTTTGTTCTTCCCATCTAGTACCAGCCGACGGAGTTAAGGGTAAGACATGGGGCCCGTCGACGCTGCACCAGCGCGAACGCGGGGCTATTATCACGCAGCCGCCTAACACCACGTCGCCAGGCGGCAAGCGTTGGTCACGCTCCGCCCCGGATCTCGAAAAGACCCCGCTGCGCACGGCCCTCCTGGCGAGCGCGCACCGCTCGCCGCTTCTCCAGGAAATAGGTAACCCCACCTCCAGAAAGTTGTACTCCTCGGCGAATAATCTAATCGGGGACCGCGCCGGCCCGGAGGACCCGCGCGACCCCGCGGGCGCGACCTCCGCGACGGAGGGTTCGCCGCGGGACGCGGAGGAGGCCCTTGCGAGCGGGCCGGACGGCGAGGTCGCCGACGTCGCGACCTGCGCGCGCACCTCGAGAAGCAACGTTAGGACCCACTTCTCGAGCGAGTACTCCGTGATCTCGGACAGCTACTCCTCGGCCAAGTGCCCGCCCCCGGCGCTCGCCGACCCCGCCAAGGGCCAGGTCGGTAGGAGCGGGGCGAAGCAGCCCGCGGCCGAGCCCGAGCACTCGCACTCGACGAATTTCGTGCACAGCGTCGCCTCCACCCTGGTGGGCACCGCGAAACGCGTCAAGAGCAAGACGCGCTCGAGGAGCAAGTCGAAGGAGTCGAAGCGCCGGGACAGCTCGGAGTCGAGGCTCGCCTCTCTCGCCGACTTCTTCTGCTCGCCCTCGGGCTCGCGCAAGAGCTCCCTGAACTCGCCCCGCGGCTCCGAGGGGAGGAACTCCGTCGCCATCAGGATCAACGACGCGGACGGGCCGGAGTCGAGCCCGGAGAACTCGGTGGGGAAGGCGTCGAGAGGTCGGAAGTCGCGCGGATCCAAGAGCCCTCTCAGGGTCTTCAGCAAGATGCGCGCCTGGGGCAGCAGGGACGCCATCGACGACAAGCCCGCCGCCGTCAGGGTCGGGGACTCGGTCTCCGTCTCCAAGCTCGACAGGCGCCGAGGCTCCGATCAGGCCGGGATCGCCGCCAGGTTCCTGACCGCCAACTCCAGGGAGGGCGTCGACTTCGAGTCCCTCGAGGCCGAGCTCTGTCGCCTCGACGCGGACCAGTCGAGCGACACCACCAGGTCCTCCAAGGGCTCGCTCGGGTTCCTGGAGGAGCTCGAGCGGGCCTCGAGGGACGTACCGGATGGACCCACCGTGTACTCCGGGGACTTCGGCTCCAGCCCTGCACTGAATTCCAAGTCGAAGAGCAGCGAGTGCCTGGGCGACTTCGAGGCCCAGGGCGAAGCCACGACTCTTCAGGATCGGGGACGACAGAACTCGGAACCGATGCGTCGACCCAAGGAGGCCCTCGGTGGGCCGACCAACGCTCTTGGCTTCTCCAGGCGCAGCTCCGAGGGCACCGACTCCATGAGGCCCGTCGCTGGCGTTCTCGTGGACCTGGTGCACCGCAAGAACAACGAGTGAACGCCGCTCGGCTCGAGAGGCTCGAGTCGCCGGACACGATCGTCGATTCCTCTCCGAGGAGCCCGGGGGGCCGATGCCAGGACATTCCGAAACTCTTCACCGTCCTCTTCGTGGTGGGTGAAGACTTCGCCGGGAAGCCCGGGGGAAGTTGACCCGGAACGGATATGCAAATGGTTGCCGTACCATGCGGAAGGTAGCCAAGGATCGGCGAGGGCGGAGAGCGAGACGATGCCCGCCGGAGTCGGGGGGAAACGCTGGCCGAGAGGCGAGATCGACTATGCCGAAGAGCTCCGGGTTGTTTCCGTAGCGACGAAGACCCGGGGGATAGGCTTCGCGACGCCCGGGGACCGAGGAATATGCTCGGCAACAAGAACCGGGCAAGCCCTAGGCGAGGATCTCGGGAGCGAGGAGCATTTCGAACGTAGTTACGTCCTCCTTTATTTTCTCACTTGCCACTTCCTCAGGGTTCTCGAGGCCGACGACGCAAGGTACGGTGCACGTAACCTTCTTTATTGCGAGGTAGATGTTCGAGATCAGCGTGATTCTACCCCTTTGTTTAGCGTAGCGACTTCGCGAACTCTGTCCCTGAACCCCGAGGGGAAAGAAAAAGTCGAGACTACTTGATGTTACGATCACTTAGAGCGAGTACTCCAGGTGATCATTCGGTGAATTTTCCGTAGAATCGAGTAGATTCTTCACATTTCTCGATTGTAAGGGTCGCGTCATTTGTGTGGCTACTTTTTCTCCTGGGTGTTCCGGCGATCGATCGCTCCATCCCACCCAAACCGATCTATGTTTTAATCTAGATCTAAATAAATCTGTTCTCCTTCGTCGCCAGGCCTTTCCGAGGAGAACATCTCGACGCGTAAGTCGGCCATCCTTTCCTCTCTTAGTGGTCGTCGAACTTTTGCCAAAAGCGTTTCCGCTAGACCCCCCGCGATCGCTTCCGGGCCCCTTCGACCCGGAAGCCGGAGAGTCACCTAGTGACGAGCTCCGGCACTTCCCGGCCGCTCGTCCGCATTTTCGAGGCGTAGATATATCATTTTTTTTCCCTCATTTTTTTTTTTCTTTCTCTCTCTCTGTCTCTCCTCTCTCTTTCCTCGGTAGAAAGTATCTTACATAGAGCTGTGCATCGTAGAAGGCGTAGGTCGTGAGCGATAGTGCATGCAACCATTAGCAGACATTTTATTCCCCTTTCCCCGTCGACTTTTCCCACCTGTGCCTTATCGTTGGCCAATTATACCTGGATTTAAGGTACCATTTGTTGCACCGACGCGATGAGTCGAATACTTCGTTGACTCGAGTTACTCGAAGTCCATGACAGTGCCTACTCGAGTCCGGGACCGATTCTCGAGTTCTTACGGATTTTTTTTTCTTTTTTTTTTTTTTCGCGTGCGAGTACATTCGCTTGAAGACATTTGCATTGTTGCAATGACACGTCATTGGTCGACGTTTGAAAGTCTTGTACGAAACTGTTAATTTCCTATGTGAAAGTTAGTAGGGTGAACTCGACGTATGACTCGAGTTGGAGGGTAAAGTTACTCGAATAAACTCGAGTTGACGAGCAAAAGGAGTCGAACAATGACTACTCGAACTCACTCGAGTAAATGAACTCGCGTTACGATGACTCGAGTAAATGAACTCGCGTTACGATGATTCGAGTAAATGACTTTAAGTGAACTCGGCAAGCGGAAGCAACTCGGTTTCACTTTTGCCCTCGCAACTCACATTTTGACCGATAACTCGACTTACGATCGAATTGACTCGAGTTGCAATTAAAACAGATCCAACAACGACTATTCAAACTCCTTTGAGTAAATTAACTCGCGTTACGATGACTCTAGTAGACGAATATAAGTAAACTCGATAAGGGGAGGTAACCCGGTCTCGCTCTTGCTCTCGCACCTCACATTTTTACTCATAACTCGAGTTACGATCGAATTGACTCGAGTTTCAATTAAAACAGATCCAACAACGACTATTCAAACTCATTTGAGTAAATTAACCCGCGTTACTATGACTCTAGTAGACGAATATAAATAAACGATAATGGGAGGCAACCCGGTCTCGCTCTTGACCTCGCACCTCACATTTTTACTCATAACTCGAGTTACGATCGAATTGACTCGTGTTGCAACTAAAACAGGTACTCAAACTCCTTTGAGAGTAAATTAACTTGCGTTACAATGCCTCTAGTAGACGAATATAAGTAAACTCAATGAGGGGAGGCAACCCCGTCTCGCTCTTGCCCTCGCACCTCACATTTTAACCGATAACTCGAGTTACGACCAAATGGACTCGAGTTGGCTCTAACTCGTGCATGATTCGAATTCGACAAATCTAAATGTTCGACTCATCGCATCACTGGTTGCACCCTTATGATTTAGAAAACCCCCGAAGCCCCCTCGACGTAACGCGCTCGCAAGTTTGTCGCTTCGCGTGCCGAGAGTGGATTTCGCCGTCGCCTCGCCATTACCCCGTTTCCAATTCTCCCTCGAGGGTCCGTCGACAGTTTGTCCCTTAATTTATATCGAGCACATTCTGCCGTTTAGGCCTTTTGGGAATTTCTCAGGGGAGGCGCAGTCTCGGAGGGTAGGGACGACGAGGAATCCCGTGCCCAATGTCGCCGCTGATTTTCTACCTTCTCTTCTCTTAGCTTTCCCTATTTCTTGCCTTTCTTTCGTTATCCTTCAATTGTGAAATTTCTCGGTGAGGGACCAGACGTAAATTTAAGGTTTACCTGTTAAGGGGGCACCCTTTGGCGTGACTCTCGACACGAGGATCGCGAAGGTGTACCGTGTTTTTTTTTTTTTTTTTACTTTCCTGCGTTTCAGAGCTAACGAAACGACGATTGGACTCGCGCGAATTCTGCGTTCACCTGCCGGTGCAATATGACGGTTTCCTAATATTTGTTTAATTCAACTTTTCTTTTCTTTTTTTTTTCTTTTTTCTTCATATCCGGCACCCGCCTTCTTCTCGGAGGTATCTTTGTGTGTGTACCAATCGCGGCACTTTGGCCTCTCCGAATTTTCTTTTTCTTTTTTTTTTCTTTTTTTTTTTCACGCATTTAAATGACCGACTAGCAGCATAATCCGCTAACTGGCACATCCCGCAAAACTAAATTTTTAATAACAAGGTTCTACGGTCCACGGGGCAGGACTTTAATGCGGTCTCTTTTTAATTGTTTTCTTTTGGTTTCCTTTTTTAAATATATATATACATATATATATATATATATGGTGTTGGGTCTCTTCCCGTTAAGACTCGGAGGTACATGACACTTTTTCTATTAGAGCTAACTACTAGCAGAGGCTGAAAGAAACGTCGGGATACCCTCTATCCGAGCGAGTTCTTCGTGGCATTAATTCCTCCATTAAGTGGTCATTCCTAAATTATATTGCCGTCGTACCTCCGATGCGTATTTAGTTTAAAAGGAGGATTTTCGGTGGACTTGCAAAACGCGGTTTCGTAATTGGGCGATTTTATTCACGGACGGTTTGAGACTTCGATGCGCAGAGAATAATGTACATTCCGTTTGCATTTTTAAGGTCCTCTCGAGAAGCACTTAGTTTTTGTACTTGACGATTTGGGGAGAGGGGGGGCTCAAGGGCGCTTTTCGAGCAGGGACGATTTTTTTCTCTTTTTATTTTATTTTTTTTATTTTTAACCCTTTGAACGCTGTCGACGCATATGTGCGTCCGACGTTTGGCTCAATATCGCGCGCACGGTCTAAGGAAATTCGCCCGTATGTCGAAAGTGCTTAGCGCTCAAAGGGCTAAGTAAGGAGCTTTTCTCGGATTTTTAATGGACGATTTTTCTCGACTCGACATGTCAAAGAGGATAGTATTTGTTGTTCAACTACGAAACCGTTGTACCGTGAGCTCGGAGCTGGTTGGATTTTGAATAAGTGTTCATTGATGGTGATGGGGATAAAATTGAATTTTGAATTTGCCATGAAAGAAGGATCAAATCGCTCGGGGGACGGTCCCTCGTCTCGTGATGTTAGACTGAAAAGAACGTCCCCGTATTGCCGTTTTGAAAATTAATAACTGACGTTTCCTCGAGCAAATGGGTGTACACACAGTGTGTACACACCACGGACCACACAGAGACTCACACGCATTTCACGCACACGGAGCCACACGCACACACCTGTATTTAGAAATAGAACTTTTTCAATAAAACCTTTTCAGTTGGACACGTTGGATTTTGTTTTTTTTTAGTTTTCAACATTTTTTACGCTCGGACCGTCGACTGTTGGTCGGATAGTTGTTTGTGGAATGATAGCTAAGATGTCTTTGCAAAGTAGTGCCGCAGTGGCTTAATGTCGCTGATAAGACGGCTGATTAGTCTTGTACTTAGGAATATGATTTGTCCACATGTTACTTATATCCGTTTATTTATATATATATTTTTTTTGTTTTTTTTTTCTGTGTTTCATGCCTGCCAGCCGAGCACTTTGCAGGCGTCTCTTCTGGACGCGATTGCAAACAAGAGTAGTCCTAATAATCTTAATCGAAGCCTCGATGAGTATCGGTGATAACCTGATAAGGATACGGAGCCGAGCGTAAAAGATTCCCTGCATGCTATCCATTGGGTTCCTAACTGTTAACTCCGTTTGGTTTTGGTCCTGACCTTTCCTCAATGCCCGAGTTTAACCGCCTTTTAAGTGAACGGTTTATTTCGAGGCTCTTATCACGAGGCTTATCACTCGCCGAGGGGACTCGCTCCCGTGCACTTGGCGCGAGACTCTACCGAGTCCTTCGCGTCTTTGGATCTCGACTCGTTTTGAGTTTTCAATATCCTGAGAGGGGGATTCAAGACAGGCGAATGAAAAAAGAAAAAGAAAAAGAAAGAAAAATTATACATTCTTCTCTTGCACTTTGTTGGACAATTGCCGAGCCATTATCCTTTAGTGTATTATCAGGTACTGTCGGAATAAGGAGGCCGATCCACTATTGTTTTGCGAGCGCAGCTTCTGGTAGTTTGCCTCCATGGTTTGGGGTTTGTATTAGCATGCCCTTAGAATTATAGTCTTGCTTGACTTAAGTTCTCTGTAACGCAGTGTACCTCGATTATCGGTTTTTCCGTCCCTCAAGGAAAGTGCAACTCTAAGTCGCGCAATCAGTCGTGTTATCAGATTTCTTAGCGCTTTCCGAAATTCCTCGAAACTGAGATTATCTGGCCCGGTAGCGTCTTTTAGAAAATCTTGCTCACCTTTTTTTGCCTTGTTCTCCGTTTTTTGGCACCGATAGTCCCTTGCATATCTGCGATTAAGAGTGAGACCCATGTGGAACGTGTAGTTAGTGATAATAGAAGTACGCTTATCGCATGTCACCTCGTTCCGCCTTGCTTAAATGTTAGCGTAGGATAGATAATTGTGTGATAAGGCACCCGATAGTCGCTTAATTTAGTTTCTCGAAGGTAAGACCGAGGACGATGCCTTGCCAAAATTTCGCATGCCTTTTCGCAGCGACCAGAGCGAATTCCTAAAACAAAGGGTGGTCCAAAGTCGCTTAATTTGATGTTTTACTGACAAGGAAAGTATCCCGGATCGATCTATCCGATTTCATTTCTTTTATAATATGTTATAGTAGACTAGAAACTAAGCGACACGAATTTTGTTTTCTCTGCCATTTAAGACTTTAAGGGGGTGAAACCACCATCCAAAGTGAGGCATGTCAAGGGGCGATTTGGCAGTTTCACCCACAAGAACGTAATATTTTTTTAACCAATCCACCCGAATAAGCTTTCTCATAACGAGAAATGAAAAATATAATTTTCTCAATTAAGAACAAAAAAAATTAAGTGGTGAGCCACCCCTCACAGGCCTTACTTTGGATGGTGGTTTCACCCCCTTAAAGTGTTTAATGGCAGATAAAAAGAAATACCTGTTGCTTAATTTTTAATCTACTATAGCATATTATAAAAGAAATCAAGTCGGACAGATCGACCTGGGATGTCTTCCTTGTGAGTTTAAAAGTCGCAAGGCACGGCATTGCGTCGCAAGAACTTCCGTAAAAATGAAAAAAGAAAAAAATGCATAAAAAAGAAACCGAGCAAGCGAATAGCGTCGGGCAACTAGACGTAAGCTCGATAATAATCGATAAATCGCGGGGTGATTTTCATAAATCCATTCCGCCGGTTTGAAAATCTTCAATCGATTAATCGGTTCCGCATCTCATTAGAATACCATTCGGATCGATTTCCGAAGAAATTGACCCTTGCTCTAGAAATTCGCAGGACGAAAGCCCTTCGCTCTTTCGCACCCCTATAAGCCTAAAAGGAGGATTCGTTGACGCCAGTTCGTGATCCTTTTTATTTATTCCACCTTAAATCCAACGAAGCATCGAAGTCTAAATGATAAAAAAAAAAGTCCCTGGACAGGGATCGCTGCATTAAAAATTGCCGAAATTTCGGAAATTCTTCCGGTACAACGAATCCCCCTTGGAGAGTCGGGGGTAAAATTAGCGTTAAGGTGAAGTGAAACACGTCGAGGAACTTGATCGACGTCGGTAAAAAAGTTTCTTCTGAATACCTACGTTGCCGAGGTTCATTTTTATATTGACAGCTGTGTCGAATTATATTCGGTATTGTACTAAATGGCATACTCCATCAGTCGTATTCGTACAATAATTTTAAAGAAATCTGAGTAAATGTCCAGAAATCCCCTGGATTCATGGTTTCTGAGGCCCTAGTTGACTGCAAAGGGACCCCCTGCGCCATCTGTGATTTCCATGCGAACTAAATTTTCACTCCGAGAGCTCGTATTACCATCGTTTCAAAATAGAAGCATATAAGACACTTTTTTTACCTTCATCCTGTTAAAATGCGAATTTCTCGATTACCAGACTCTTCTAAATTGTACAGTTGTCCTGCCACTTTTGTTTCTCATATTAGAGCCTTCAGTAATTGTACATCCATCGAAATATCAGAGCCCGACGCCATTTTGGTTCTGGTATGAGCTGAGTTAAAAAATATTGATTTAAAAAATTCCAATTTTCAAAGTGTCAGGATATTTCCTCGGTGCTCACGTGTCACGTGTCGAAGTTTCGGAGAGTTCTGTCTAATACCCTTAAGAAAAGAAAAGTGTATTGTTCGGATCGACTGATTTTAGGGGGGTTTCACTTCACCTTAAGCTCTCAGAGAAACGTCGGGAGGCGTCGTGGCGCTTTCTGCGATTCCAAGGAGATGTAATTATATTTTATAGACTATTCGGCGCTACCGCCAGAACTGCCGACGGATTGGATAACGACGGATTACCCTCTAAAGCCCGGGCTGACCGGGCCGTACATTATGCCGATGCCGGTACCAATGCCGACCCTCTATAACGGGGAGGCGAAAAAACCAAAGTTAAGCATAATAGAACTGGTCCTGTACAACATTGCGGCTATGCTGGCTGGCGTGGCGACCGGCTACGACGTGAGGATGTCGAACGTGTCGCCGATTCATCCGAGGCTACAACCGAGGCTGAACGACTGCGAGGATGAGCCCCCCAGGTGGTGGTTCCAGGCCGACACCGGCTCGAATCGCAATTCCGCTTATCTGGGTCCGGATTACGAGTTCAGCTCGACCAGCGGCTACCCGCACAACACTTATCATGGACCGGCACGACACTATAGGTATGGACACCCTTGTACTGATAAAAGACGATGGGAATGTATGTACAACGGCGGACATGAATGCCTCTCCTGCAGATACGGCATCGCCTGTGCAGGATGGGAGGGCATTGAGGTCTCCCAGTGTACACTTTTACCTTATAAATGAAGTTTCACGTAGAAAAACGTAAAATGGAATAATTACTATGGGTATGGACGCCCTTGTACTGAAACAAGTCGATGGGAATTTACGTACACTTTTACCTTATAAATGAAGTTTCACGTACAAAAACGTAAAATAGAATAATTACTACAGGTATGAACACCCTTGTACTGAAAAAAATCGCTGGAAATTTACATGCATTTTGACACACCTCATGAACGAAGGCTTACATACTAGAACGTAAAATGGAAAAGTGAGAAATTAGAAAATCTATAAATACACCTAACATTGTATCTTTACCGTGTTAGGGTATTTTAACTTGACTTAGATGTAATATTACATTATAATTTCCTTTAACCTAGATGCCGAATGTGATATTACGTAGATACCGTAATATCACTGCAATTTATTGTGGCATCGAGATAACCATTGATTATGTAAATTGACAATTTTGATCAGTGTAGGGTGGAAGTAGAATTTTGTTATTTTGGCAAAAGGGCGAGGGGAAGTGGGGACAGCTTTTCTGACGAGGGTTGGCTCTTTCTTTCAGGCCGTTCCTGAGCAACATGGGTGGTATCGCGCCAGGCCTTCCACCAGCCGTGATGCCCGATAAGCCGTTGCGTTTCACGGATTCCCCTCAGCATTATGCCAGCGGTACCGGCTCGAATGCCCCGACACCCAGTCCTCGAAGGAAAAGCTCCAGCACCAGCAACGAGGAGGCCTACTCGCCCGAGATGGGCCGAATCGACAGGCTGGAGAGGGTGCCGACCATCTACATGGGCAACACCACCTCCTTTCCCGATTACGGGCCCCCGATGTACGCCGTGGTACCACCGGAGTACTATCGACCTCCCGAGTCCGCGTATTTCGTTCACACCGACTACCAGTAAGCGTCCGGGTGCACGTATTCCTCAAAAATTCCCCAGATAGACAAAGTGATGAATAATTTGCAACAAATTTGCCTGATAAGATCATAAAATGTGCCACGAGGGTGACGCTCGTGAGTCCTCGTTTGGAACTCGTATCTGCAGTACACAATTACGAACCAAAATAACACTTAAGGGGATGTGAAAGTAGCATCCGAAAGCTGAATCGTCCATAAAACCTATCTACGAACTGGGTGTCTCAAATCATCTCATACTTTAAAACGTGAATATGAAGACCCTAAGATAGGTCCTGAAACTCGTGAAGTTTCATTTTTCATAAACTATTTTTAAAATACCTATAAAGAAATGTGAAAAGAATTGCAATTTCATGAGTTTCGGGACCTTCCTTATAGTCTCCCTATTCACGCTGTAAAGTTTCAAATTGTTCGGTAAACCGAGTTGAGAGAAAAGTTTTATAAACAAAGCCTCTTCGACGCCACTTTCACATCACCTTAAATATTAAAGAAAGTTACGTGCGTGCAATGTCTCAATGTTTGTATGCATATGCACAGCTGAATTTACGTCGCGCATTGCCGATAAACAATGGAGCAACGTCATATTTTAAGCTCACATTTGTAGCATTAATTGACCTCATACAAGGTCCGGGAATTAATTGTCACAAGGCGATGTAATAGCTTCTTTTAAATTTTCCATAAATTTTCAGCTCATTAATGTCGGCATTACCGGCATATGACTCGAGTATGCGGTAAATATATACAACTATTTCCGACAAATCAATCGGGAATTCTTGTTGAGATTTATTGCGTAACGTGCGTACACATATTGCAGACATTTCACGCAGCAAATGGTCTGCAAATTGTAAATCGATTTCCCTCACCATGAGTATCTATCTGGGTATATTAGTATTATTTCCCTAAACTAAGGTGAGACCGTCAATAAAGTGGAATTCCGATTTCCAGCGACCGGATGCTGGAATGTCCGGAGTTTCCGCACGCGTACGACAACCCCAGCAGCATCAACAGCACGGCGAGGCCGAGCCCGAGGCTGCCCTCGTACACCCACCATCGCACCTCCTCGAACGTCTCCAACGCGAGCACGTCGAGCCAGAGCAACGTCAACCCGACTTTCCGCCTCGAGGACGATGCTGACTATTCGCTTTACTCGCCGAGCCACTATTACCAGCGCTCGCCGAACGTCTCGAGCATCGGCCTCTACGGTAGCAATATATTGAACCACGAGTACGGCTCGCAGTACCTGACCCGCCAGAACTCCCACGAGTCTAACCCGAACTCTGGGGAGCGGCCGAACAACCTCGAGGTCGTGACCAGGCTGCGCTCCAGCTTGAAGAGGTCGAACTACTCGTACAGCTCGCCGAACAAGAGCGCCAGCAAGAACAACTCGGGCTCTGGCACCCCGACGAACCCGACTCCCCCGGACTCGCTGACCTCCGAGGACTCGAGCTACGTGTCCGCGAAGGACAGCCAGATCTCGATAAGCAGGGTCAGGTTCTCGCCGGTGACCTTCGACCGAGACGGCGTGCCTCGGGACCATAGGGAGACCTTGCTGGACATCCCGATGCATGGCCAAAGTCAGGACGTCACCGTGCCCCTGCAGGCCAACAGGCGGCTCAGCAGGAACCGGAAGCCCAGCATCTCGGAGCTGGAGAGGGAGTTCTTGTCATAGCACTGGCTGATCTAAGGGACCGGATGGGACGTTGGTCGCTCTTGGAATTCGACTTCAAGGCGAGCTAGGAGGCGAGGGGATGCTGGGGCACGACGAGATCTGTACCTTACGACGGCCCCTTGGAGCTGGGAGCCTCGGTGGTGACGCTGCACCTGTACTGCGGGGGTGGAACTCCTTGTTGACTGTTCCGAAGACACCCTGGACAGGAACAACGGATGGGGCACGACAAGATCTGTACCTTACGACGGACCCTTGGAGCTGGGAGCCTCGATGGTGACCCTGGATCTGTACTGCGGGGTTAGAGGTCCTTGTTGACTGTTCCGAAGACACCCTGGACACGAACAACGGGAGCTGGGCATGTCCTACCTTGATGGAAGTTCTTACAGCGCACACTCATGTAAGGGGATAAGAGGGACCTGAAGGTTTCGCTCTGAGGGCTTTTGAAAGGACCATCGCGAGAAAATTAGAGGATCGATCCGGTTATCGATTGAAATTATTCCCATGCTCTCTGGGTGGCGGGATAGCTTCGGATCTTTGGATAAGGTCTGATCGCTCCGTTGCGAATTTTAGGCGTCGAGGTGCACCGTTGATTTTAGGTCATCGAGTCGAATTGTAAGCGGACGGGAACGAGGTGTGGAACATCTCTGACTTGAGAAGGTTCTATGATTGCGGTATACTGGGTGGTTTAACATCATTGTATCCTTTTCACCGCAGGATAACCAACTGTGTCGCATAGAACGTTTCAAGGGAACGTTTCGATGCTAGTTGTCGTGCTTCGATCCTACTTCGCCTTAATCGGTAGTTAGCACTTGAACTCCTTGTGGTTTAGAAGTCGTAGCGAAGAAAAATTATACGAAATTTCTTACGTTTCTAGAGATTATACGAAAATAAGGGAGCGATGCCGTTGTATATGTTAATGCAATTCGCTAGTCTTCGCAGTTAATATGTCTTAGGATTTAAATATTCTTAACGGGGGCAAGACAAGAGGTGGTCGGTAGAACTTTGCTACGGTCTCCGAACGTGGCGTTTCCTTAAAACGTTCATTGCATATCGCAGGTTCGAATTTCGCAGAACAAGCAAGACCTCTCCGTCGAGGAACAGTTCCTCATATCGCAAGATATGCGTCGAGGGTGCCGAATGCGATTTCGAGATCTGGCTCTTAGATCAATCTCGTATCGAACGGGTTAAGTGGAGGAAAGGAGACGAATTCGCGAGGATTCGGGCCGTGTAAGATATGTGGGAGTCCTTCCACCTCGAAGAGGACACTTATCGAGCTACTTCTAGGATCTGGTATAAATGACGAGATAAGCTTCATTTATCGGAGCACTCTTTCTTCCGAGATAAAAAAATCCCCATTAAGGCGATGTGAAAGTGGCGTCAAAGAGGCCTCGTTTATGAAACTTTTCTCCTAACTGGGTGTACCGAATCGATTCAGACTTCACAATCAAAATATGAAGGGTATAAGGAAGGTCCTGACCTTAATGAAATATGAATTTTTTTAAATTTCTCCATACATATCTTAAAAATTTTGTGCAAAAAGTGAAATTTCACGAGGGTTAGGACCTTTCTCATAGCCTCCACATTAACGTTTTAAAGTGTGAAATGATTTAACGCGTCCAGTTCGGTAGAAAAGTTTCATGCACGATTGACTCTTCAGATGCCACTTTGACATCCCCTGAATGATATCGCCTAAAAAATTATTAAGCGTACAGGCTTTAACGGTATCGCAAAAATAATGGAAATATTTCCTTCTTGTTAATTCAAGAGGGAGGGAGAAATGTTAACACATTCGCGACCGGTGACATGAATTCACGTCTTTTCAAGTTCCATTCCTGGTTGCCGCTGACGTGAATCCATAACGATACACGATACAAGTTTGCGGCAACCAGTTTCAGAATGTCATTATTTTCCCCGGTACTCGATATTTGAAACGGATAAAATTTGCCGGTCGCGAATGTGTTAACGCACTGTTTCCCCGAGTAAGGGGATTCCAGATGATGCTTCGGTGAGTGTCCTGTTCTTCGTGGAGGGGTTCATAGACAAGCATTCGCATAGTGGATGGAGGATGTCTCGATGCATTTTCCGCACTGCCTCCTGCTCGCGACAGCGGTCCGCAGGACACCTTACATATTAAGGACTACAGCTCTCACATTCCGTGCGATGTGATCCTACTCGAGAGCCACGTTATCAGCCCGATAAGAACGGGCGGCTCGTTAGACTGAAAGCAAAAAACCTCCTGCGAAAAATACGAGCGACGATACATTAAGACCGGTAGATTTGCGGAAGACTGAAGGAATAAAGATCGTTAGCGATACTCGATGCCGATGCGAAGATCAAGTCGAGAAATAGCTTTCCATTTAAATTAGAGGTATTGATTTTCTACTCTACATTCCGCGTCAACCCGAGTAGCCTCGGAGGGTTGATCCGAGCGTATAGAATGTGTGAAAAGGTTCTCGACTATTTGATCCTTCTCGCCTTAAGTTAAGGTGATGCGAAAGTGACGTCAATGAGGTCTCGTTTATGAATCTTTTCTCCAAATTGGGGATACCGTATCGTGTCAAACCTGACAATGTCATTGCGGAGACTGTAAAGGAGGTCCTGGCACCCGGGAAACTTCAATTTCAAGGAAATTTCTTTAGAGATACTTTCGACATTTTTTTCCTGAACAATGAAATTTCCTGGAGCTTCAGGACCTAACTTAAAGCCTCCGTATTCACGTTGTAATGTTTCAAACGATTCGGTACACCCTGTTAGGAGATAAGTTTAATGACTCCTTGGATCCCACTCTCGCATCCCCTTAAATCGAACGATCGTCCTTTTCATGACGTTCTTGCGTTTCGAATCGATTCTTCGCTAACTCTCCGTGACTCTAGCTTTAGTGCAGCCGATGCATCCTGCAGCGATGCGATTCAGTGTCCCGCAAATCGACGTGGCTCCGTTCTCATGTACATCATTCTCTATTCGCGACGATCGACATTCCTACCGATTCCATTCTACGGCTACCTTTTCCGTCTCGTTTCCCGCGACACGTTTATTTAATTTATCCTCGACTCTGTCGACGTATATATGTGTATATGTGCTGGCTCGCCCATTTAGAATCGCACACGCCGTGTGTAGGGATCCTTCACTTAGGCGTTCCTCTCTTCTACTTTCTTTTGTAACGACATTTCCATCCACGGACTAGTATAAGGAGATTCCAACGCCAAATGTATCGAAATCCTCCCCACTTTAGGGGTCCAGGATGTTCGGATCCTTTTTTTAATCTAGGGCTGAGAGCGCCCCCTCGATGAGATTTTGCAATTAAAAGTTATCGTCTGCCAGCGGGCCCGTTAGTCTTTATTGCGTTAAAAAAAGAGAAACATCAAATTCTATGTATCAATCCCGGATTATCGTATCACTTTGCGTACCTTAATTGCAAAATGAAATGTATTTTAGGTGATTTACGTCGATAGGTGATGCTTCGGTGACGTAGATTGGAGTTCCCGTATTCTCCGCGAGTGGCGCTCGCATTGCTAGATAAGCGAAAATCGGAGATCGTGGGTCCTGATATTGGGGCCTTCCACTTTCTGTGGAACCGGAATGCGTTATCTCTCCTTATACTACTTCATGTTTCCATATTCGCGTCAGGTCATTGAGAGCGTGGAAAAGAAAATAAGCGACGTGGGCTTTGAGAATTTCGCGCGCATCTTTATAGGGGGAGATTTGTACAGTAGCAGTCCAGTATAGGTGAAAATTGTTGAAAGAACGATCATCTCTCCGTTCGGCACACCTTGTACAGCGGTTATCATTGTATTTGTTTCCTTGGGCTACGTTTTTTATACTCTAGTGCTGTAAATTCGAACACTTCCGCTTCTGTGAAGATTGAGAGCGACCATTGGAAGAGCGCGCCCTTCTGCGTATCGTCTCGAGAAACTGGGAGATTATGGATTCCTCGATTATTCGGGAGAAAAGAAAGAAAGGAAGGAAAAATTGGATCAATTTTCATGTGATACAAAAGAGGCAAGACTGATGTTAGAGAGATTATACACTGTAGGTACGAGAGGACAACTCTTACACTAGCGATTGCGTATGATTTGCAGTTATTAATTCTGGATCGATGGAGACGATTTCCGATTATGTATGGATTTCTAATTGATAGCTGGGTTATATTCAACTTCGGGAATATGACATTGGAAATACAAACAGCAATGATTAAGATCGCAACATATAGTGGATTCGGGAGAAGGGCAGGAATCGTATGCGAATATGAATGACAATAGTTGTAATACGACTCCGGCACATAGCGATTGATCATTGCTAGGAGTTTTTCTTTTTTCTTTTTTTCTTTTTTTTAATTTAATCTTAAGCACGCTCGAGGTTTACTTAATTAATTTATATTATTTCGCCAATTCACGAGGACCACGATACAAGCAATATTCAGGGGGGGAAAGTATCGCGAATTCGAAAAAAAAATATATCTTTTCCGTAAGCATATCCGATGGCACCGTCGAATTCATATTAATTAATTAAACGTGGAATTCATATTAATTAATATCTAAGGAGCTCGGATCTCCCAGTTTTGATATTAAAGAAAGTCTCCCGGTACTCTCTCCAAGCTCTCAATTTCTACCGGAAGTTGACGAAAGGTTTGCAAGTGCAGCGCTTACGGCCGATCTCTGGGAGGCGACACCATTTTTTACATGTAAAACTGCAACTCGGACGAGATGCGTAAAATATGTGCGTTTACAAAGGAATAATGATAATATTAATAATTGTACATGGACCAGCTCGTACGAGTGCCGTAATCATCATTGCCTCCGAGACCGCGACTTTTTAACACTGACGGGTTTAATTAACTTAATTAAATGAATTAACGTGCATGCGTGTACATTGGGAATTAATGGACTGCACAAGGTGTGACGCGTTTACAAGCCATACTAGGTTCACGAGACTTCGTATATACATAATCGATGTTGTATATATATATACATTACACGTAATTACTCTAAACACGCGGGGGGCATAACGCTCTCGATTCTTACATTCCCCTTAGACCTTAAGTAAGACGTATTAACGGCGAAAGCGAGAAAGGAAATGAAAAAAAAAGAAGAAGAAGAAGAAGCAAAGCGACCGAGAGGACACCTCGGTTACTTCTTCGAAGAGTAATTTTTAATTAATTAACGACGACTAACGTCCTCTTGTTTCTTTGTACTTAGAGACGAATCAAAACGCGTATGAACGCATAACCCAGCGCTATGTATTCCCCTCGAATCAAAAGCCGCCAGTTTTATTTTAGCAGTTACGGTCGCCGAACTTGACGACTTTAATGACCTTACTCCTTTTTTCTCTCTCTCTCTTTTTTTTTTCCTTTTTTTTTCTCCCCACGTTACTCTTTCCTTCTTAACTCCGTTGCTCTTTCGAATGGAACTTAAGGTTTCGCGACTGCTTGCGTTCACCCGAAGGAAATGACCATCAGTATTGTAGGATACACCGCAATGTACATACATAGGATGTATAACAGTCACAAGTATGGAGACAATGCTATGGTCTTCGAGGAGTATTTATTTCGTGGTTCGTCGACGTCGCCGGTGTATTATACATATANCGCCATTATACATAGGCGCGACCGCGGTACATATATACGAGCCGAGGTAGCTTTTTCACGAAATACCATTTGTTATTAATTTCCGTGGCCCAAAGCCCTTTTTTATATCGTCAAACGAGGAATCACCGTCATTCGCCCCTTTTAGCGAGGAGATCGCTCGCTTGATGGTACTTGGAAAATACTCACGTGGACGCGATCCGTTCTTGTTGATCGTCGAGCGACTCGGGTGTGCACTAAGATCACCGATTAAATCCTCCTTGAAAATAATTATTAATAGTAATTAATCGATGCTTTGCAAAGCGAGTACGCATTTGAAGCTTTCGACGGGCACAGAGAAGGTGTATATCCGGCCGGCGAGTCGGGTCTTCATTTTACGTTAACAATTGTTAACGTCACACAATACGTCGTGCAATACAACGTACCTCGTACGTCGTATTGTACGTACAATGGCGGACATGAATGCCTCCCCTGCAGATACGGCATCGCCTGTGCAGGATGGGAGGGCATTGATGTCTCCCAGAGTACAGTGGCGGATATGAATGCCTCCCCTGCAGATACGGCATCGCCTGTGCAGGATGGGAGGGCATTGATGTCTCCCAGTGTACGTCGCGTTGTAACAATTGCATTGTCGAGAGAAACGGGGACGCCGTTGCAACGAGGAATTACAGCTTGCGACGGAATTTCCAATTTGTTTATTAGGATCTTTCGCCAATTTAAGGTTTAAATGGCGCTCTTGTCGCGTTCCTCCTAACTCGCGCATACATCTTAAACATTGTAAAACGCAGACCGGATTGTTAGCTGATAGACAAAATTATGGAAGAAGCTTCCTTTGTCGCGTACGTCGGTGTATAATTTGTTGAACACGTAGACGGGATTGTTGGCTGGTAGAAAAATTATGAAAGAAGCTTCCTTTTGTCGCGTACGTCGGTGTATTATTTTATTAAACGACTTTTGTTGTCACGGCCGGATACCGTACTCTTCTGTGCTACCGGAAGACGTTCCGCGGTGCTAATTTCACGTACTTAAATTAAAGATAAGGTGCGCGAGAAATGATTCGAAATGCTTCCAAATTTATCGAAAAATGGGAGAAGGGTGGGCGGGAANTATATATGTAGATTACATTTTGTCTAGCCTAACTAAGAGAATGATCCCACACTCTGTCTTTTATTTAATATCATTCTATTAATGTAACGGGTAGACCTCGACCGAGTGAAGATCGGCAAAGAAGAGAAGGGGGAAAAAGAAGAAAAGTGAGAGAATGAGAGAATAAAAATAAATAATCAATTTTCTATGGCATCGTCGTACCATGAATCGCATACTCAAAATCCGAGATAATCGGCCCGAGGCTGGGGAAACTAGATATGTATGTAGGCATTTCTAACAAAGTCTATTTAGCTAATAAATTATTTACTGCAGGGTGTTGCAACTCGGATGACGCATTCGTTACTTGCGCGCTATCTCATTACCAACTTCTAGTGACGTATAGACGTTCGGTATCACTGAGAAAACAATTTATTTAATCCAAATACAGAGATATGTTAAAACAGGTTTAATTAAAGCAAAAGAATCAATCATCAATGAACAAAAGGTTTATTTGATTTCAGTGGATGAGAAATTGTCACGTCCTTAAGTTAAATACATTATTTGTTTCGACGTAACTGTCTTCATTGATATCAATAATTTTCCTTTTTTCTTTTTTTTTTAATCAATCATCTTGTATTTTAATTAAAAAAAAAATGATTTATTCGATTCCAAGAAATAGATTCAGAGGTGCCGCCAGGTCCTTCGGGATAAATAATCTCGTAGGAATACTTCAATGGGCTGAAATAATTACAGTCTGTGATATGAATTGCATCACGTGAAATTGGGTGAAAAAGTTATAACAACGTTCTTTAATCGGACGTTCGTTAACACGGAGAGTCTCTTCTTCTCTTAGAATATTCGTTTATAATGAAACATTTATTATATTCAAATCAAGCAGATAATGAAACGATAATGAAACGTTTGTTCACCTCAAATATAATCATTAATTTTTTTATTGAACGAAACATTCATTCAATTCGAAGCAGGGGAATAATATGATTATATCAAAGAGATATCAAACAGATATGTTTTACTCAAATGCATACTTATTAGACTCTGTAAAAAAGGAAAAATAAGTAAGACTCGCTCAAACATATTTGTTTGATGGAAATGAAATCGTTTTCTCAGGGTATACGCACGATCCGTACTCTAAGTGCACGAAACCGGCAGTCGTTACATCCTCTGTACACTGGGAGACATCAATGCCCTCCCATCCTGCACAGGCGATGTCGTATCTGCAGGGGAGGCATTCATGTCCACATTGTACATTGGGAGACATCAATGCCCTCCCATCCTGCACAGGCGATGTCGTATCTGCAGGGGAGACATACATGTCCGCCATTATACATAGGCGCGACCGCGGTACATATATACGAGCCGAGGTAGCTTTTTCACGAAATACCATTTGTTATTAATTTCCGTGGCCCAAAGTATGTCCAATCGATCGTCGCGTTGCGTTCAATTAAGACCAAAGATGGGAAATCATCAATGTCCGATTTTCAGTACAGGTGGACCTGAGAATGACAAATGTACTCTTCCTGATAGGAACGATAATCCATAACTTAAGAAAATGTTCCAAGCATCCTTAGCCGCTAAATGACGTGCAATACCGTAGAGAAGTAATTAGGATACTGGTTACGGAGAATGTACAGGAAGGTACGTATCCTACATTAAAATCGTCCTCGATATGACTTCGCGTTGACCCTGCTTATTTTTATCGTCTTAGGACGATTTGTAGTCTCTCATATAATGCTTACAGAGTAAACAATCTCTCATTCCAATAGGAGACCGAAGAAGTACCTCGAGCTTGCCTTTGCGTGCACTGAGAGTAACCACTCTACGTCAGTATTTCTTTCTCTTTTTTTCTTTCCTTGGTAAAATAGCGTAAGACTTAGCGAGAAAGGTATCCCAGGTCGATCTCTCCGATTTCATTTCTTTTATAATATGTTACAGTAGACTAAAAACTAAGCGACACGTGTTTCTTTTTTCATCTGCCATTAAACACTTTAAGGGGGTGAGACCACCATCCAAAGTAAGGCATGTCCATGGGCAATTTGGCAGTTTCACCCACAAGAACATATTTTTTAACCAATTCAATTGGAAAGCTTCTCATAACGAGAAATGAAAAATATAATTTTTTCAATTAAAAAAAAGAAATTAAGGGGTGAGCCACCCCTCACAGGCCTTATTTTGGATAGTGGTTTCACCCCCTTAAAGTATTTAATGGCAGATAAAAAAAAATACGGGTCGCTTAGTTTTTAGTCCACTATAACATATTATAAAAGAAATGAAATCGGAGAGATCGTCCCCTGGGATGCCTTCCTTGTTAGCAAGGCGTCGATAACGAGTTCTCGGCGCTTCTCGTTGGTTCGCAACCGGGATAGATATTTCGGTCGGATCAACCGGATGAATATATTAAAACTACATTTCCATCGACTCGTTAGGAGCTAAGAGTAATTGTAAGCTGCTAAGTGCAATGTGTTCCACGTATTTAAGCGAACAAAGTGACTGCTTCGGTAAGCGCCTTAAATTACGGGATGCGAGATATCATTCCTCCGCGTAGATACTCGTCCAGGATGCGAGCGAGGGACTCTGTATATTAAATAGAAGATCGAGTACACCCGCGTCGCCGTCGAGTACGCGTAATCGATCAATCGTAATTAATCGAGCCGAGGTCTTCGGAGCGCGTCCCTTGCGATGCCCCGGTTTTATTTCCTTATCCGGAATCACCGAGTCGGTGATCCGCACTCGTCGACGATGCTTCGGCATCCTTAGCGATGGGTCGGCCTTTTTCATCTAGAACGAGGGGAAATTCAATTAGCCATTGTTTCGTAGAAAGGGGAAGACCGCAATACCTTTGTACTCCGTTAGGTTTCTTTGATACCGGCAGCTTTAAAACTGGGTGTACACCCCGATGGGAGAGGAAAGTGTTACTACGCTGTCTGACCTGCACTAAAAGTTGTATTTTTCCAAGTATTGTACATTACTTTATAANGTAATACTAAAGCGTTACGTAGCGTAGGTGACGCGTTATTATTAATAAACCGTTTTGAAGAATGTGCGAAAAAGGGACTTACCTTTGATTATTCCGGAGTTGGGCGTTTCAACTTTTTTTTTTATAAACAACCACGTCGAATGGAATCGGTGGAGTTAATCGGGATGATTTTTCTTAAACCTCTGGTTTGAGAAGATCGGGCCTGGCATAATAGTATTTGGTAATTATCAAAGTCTTTGAAATTTGGGGTATTTCTTTGGAAGAATGTTGTTAATAAGATCCTTTTCTTTTATACTTTCCGTGTTGGTTTACCCAGTGGATCACGTTGTCGAGTAGAAGAGGGTGAAACAGGTGTTTATAAACATTCCATAGTGATTTAGTTGTAATTGACAGTTCTGCAGGTCCACGTGGATAGTGACAGATTTGCAGAGTGTCACGTGGACGAATCGCGTACCTACAAAGCTTCACACATTTCGACTCAGGTGTCGCAACAATCGCTCCGGGTTTTTTTTTTCAATTTTTTTTAAACGAGCTTTTCGAGCAGGGGAAATAGCTTTTCACGGTATTAAATAACTGGACTACGTTTTAATAAACAACCGTGACATCTATTACTTTTTACAGGTCTGTATGTACGACTTTTATACATTTATTGGCGCTACGGAAGAGTCGCGTTAGCAATAAGCTCACTCTTAAACATTACACGATTTTCATATATTACAGTTGAATTGTAACACGAAACGGAGCAGTATTCACTATGGCATTAAGTTCTTCATCGTAAGTAGACCATTAAGTTATAAGTTATTTGCGAGTCTCACTAGATAGTCTGAATATCGCAGATTCGATGATCCGCGATACGAATGCAAACTTAATCAGCATTGATTGCGAAAAACTTGATACCTCGACACGTGAATACCCTTAGAAAATGTAATGTCTCTAAACGTCGCCTTGCGACGAATTAATCGCACTTTTCACGACGAACCAATTGCAGGGAAACGTACTGAGCTAGCCTACTTTTTGGGACATACTTGAACGTAAAAGTTTACTGTCTTATGACAATTTTCCTAAAACTTGTCAGGGATACATAATCATTTCAAATGAATATTACTTACACAGCTTTCTCCAGTTGTTACCTTATTTTTAAGTGATGGTCATAGTACGCTTAAGAGACTTTGTTTTTAACTGCGATTCGCGTAGCGAGTGAATATATGTGTGAGAAATTATGAACTACCAAGTACACCAGTCCTAAGTATAAGATTATGGCAATCGTGAGGAAAAGATCGAACACCGCCGGCTTCACGCTGTAATCAAAGAGTACATTGATTACAACAAATGCAGATATTGAATCGGTTAATAATTTTCTTTAAAAAAAGAAGAACACAATACCTGTATACGTTAAGAGTGGCTTTTGACACATCGTAGAATACAAATTCAGGGTCCCGCTTGTCAGGACTGTGAAGCGTGACTTTAACATCTCCAAGGTATTTTGTCATTGCGTCCTTGAGGGTATTGACTAAAGGATTTTGCTTATCCGCTAAAAGCGACGCCGCCCTTGGTTGGGATGCCAAGTAATTGAGCCACAGTGTTAACGAGTCTTTAGAAACTCCCTAATGAAAATGAATTAAAATTTTGACCGGTCATTAAATCATCAGATATATTTGTTTAGCAATGTCAGATATATTTGTACGTACCAATGCTTCGGAGAAAATTTGGCTGGAGCTTAAATTATATATATGTCGTGCTAGAGCTTCCGCTACCACTTGTGTATGCTTATACAATGTATTTACTTGGCCGTTTCTCATAACATCTAGAATTGTAGTTCTGGCAGGATCTTCATGCCTGTTTATCGTTGACAAGGTCGCAGCTGGTAGTCTCCGAATGCTGTACCTTTCGTGCTCCCAAGCCAGCGTCTCCTCAGCGAGATTAATTTTTTTATGAACACCTTCAACATGTACATTACCTACAGAATCCGAAACAGCCTTTAGCTCTCTGTAAAAGAGTCCACCAAACGAATTTTCTTTAGGTGGCTTCGATACATGTACGTATAAACTATTGCCTGTTGATACGGTATCCACACAAATTACGTATGAAGCATCCTGAAATATTTGTTTTGTTTCATTACCTAACACATATATTTGTAAATGTCATGAATACCTTGAAAATGTGTTACGGCGACTAAATGCTACACTTACTTGAATAATTGATCCCTCAAGGCCATCGAGTTGATCTTCTAACCATTTTTTGCTACCTTGATAATTCAATTTGCCGGCTCCAGTTATCAGAAACACGAGATTATATTTTGGTCTAGAGCGACTCATGGAATACAAGACGGAGAATAATCTTGCTAATTCTAACAACATTACTACGCCTGAAGCATTGCTGTCTGCGCCAAACGACAGTTCCTAAGTAATAAATTAGTATATTTACTATGGAATTAATAGTGAAATACTTTTTATCTACAGCAACCCAAAGAAATAATCCATGAATTATAATATTACCGGAGCTACTCCTGCACTATCGTAATGCGCAACTAGGGCAATCGTTGGTAATTTTTCTTCTGCTCCTGTTCCAGTAAGTTTTCCTTGGAGCGTTGCAACTTTTACATCAGTTTTAGGTGTAGCCTGACCTGATGCGACCACTGCTTGATATCCACTGGCCGAAATTGAGCTGAATATAGCTTCTGCTGCCGAACCAGACTTATCGTCGGTAAAAAAGCTGTTTTCGATGTTATCTAGAATTTGCTGAAGCTCTGGATTCCATTGCGCAAAGTACACAGGAATCATGCATTCTGACCCGAACATCATAGATTCCTCCAAGGCCATGAATTGCTTGAAAATGTAAGCCACATTTAATTCAAGTGTTCTCAAGATATACATAGGTAATAGCAGGTCTGATTATTGTGAATCTACCTATCTATATAATCAATCATTTATTATATTACCTGCTTCTCCTCCTCTGTTAAGCGATCCATTTTCTCGGGCAGAATGACTACCAATGCCCCAGCCTTACTCTTAATCAATTGATAGAGATCGGCCGTTAGATCTAAAGCTCTAGCAACGACACAGTGTCTAGACGTTACCCATCCAACGAGCGACCTCGCCTCCAGAGAGACAGGAGCGTTTCGGCATCCTACAAGAGGATTTCAAACATTAGTATTAATTATTAAACTATAGGCAATAAATACAATCAAGTGGACAAAATAACCAATGTTAATTAAATATTAAATACCATGTGGAACGCCATGCAAGTCATACTGGTACATCCGATACACGGGAAATTCATGGGAAGCAGCTACGGGATTAGCTGGTGCTATTATAATGAATATCGGTAAAACTATTAACAGGTAATACGGTAAATAACTCCGACACAGTTCTGCAAAACCATCGCACTCCTCTAACCACATGTTCCACAGGAGTTCGTGTCAGAAAAACGGAAAAATAGCCGCAATTTTCCGTCAATAGATTCCCGAAGAACGAATCTCGTGACGTCACATGTGCAGTCACGTCATGGTGGAGGAAGACAAGGTATTTCTACAAGTAGAGATAAGTTGGGAGATTGTTTGCGGGCAGAGTCACGCGATCGCTTCCTGTGCTGCCCCCTGATGGTTGGTGTGGGCCAGGGTTGGGTAATTCCCCATTTCTCGAGGTTTTTTACGCATATTACGAAACAACGTAGTTTACCGGAGACAATCGTAAAAAAACATTAAATTACGTTTCCAATATGAAGAATGCCGCAGATGGTCGATATACGACTTCTGCTAGGTTATAAACGTCTTTTACCGCACATATAAACACATAAAAATTGTAAATAAATAATAAATAAATAATAAATCAATAATAAATAAATAATAAATAAATAATAAATCAATAATAAATAAATAATAAATAAACAATAAATAAATAATTAAATAAATAATAAATAAGTAACTAAATAATATAAATAATTAATAATTAAAGAATGAGTTATCCCTATATATCGCGATCAAGCTCCCGGATTGGACGAGGCCGGGCCCAATCCGGGAGCAGGGTCTGACCAGCGGTCGCGACCCGTGTCGCTGGACCGGCAGTTGCTCCGGATAAGCCGCCGCGATAAGACGCCGCGATCAATTTAGAGAATGACGAGGAACGAATTACGTGCTACGTTACAAATTCAAACCAACATGGCGTGGAATATTTCTCAACAACTGGCGGCATTCTCGTTTGTTACGAGATTCAGGGGAGGTTTCGTAAATACTGCGGGGTGCATGCGCAATTTTCGTGCCGACACGCGGAAAAATCGAAGTCAAGACGGTCAAGGCGACACAGTGATCACGGGTCGCGAGTGCCAAGGATTAATTATCGTTCAATGAAGCAAGAGGAAGCGGATGCAATTGATGGATTGGATGCAGCGGCCGCAGCGAATGCAGCGGATGCAGCGGATGCAGTGTAAGCAGCGAAAGCAACGTAAGCGGACACAAAGGAGAAATGCAGTCAGAGCCAACTTCGAAGGGAGGCAGATGGAGAGGAGGCCAGAAACCCCAGGTCTCTGCGGAGGGATCTCCTGGGGGAGTACCGCCAGAAAAAGACGAGAATCGTCCCGTTGGTAAGTCTCAACATTTCCTTCCTCCGACCCCTTCATGTCGCAGGACGAAAGGTCCGTACCGGCACGGGGGTCGGTTGTATGTTATGATTTGTTTGAGGGACCACGAGTCGACGGGATGACCTCTCGCCGACTCGCGATTGGCCGCGTGGAATTTGTTTATTTCTTGTATGTTGATTTAGATTAGGAATAGCTTTCTCCTGGGTCCGCGGTAGATTACGTTTCGTGTTTTTTTTTATCACGCGCCGGGAAGTCGGACGACCCTCCGACTTCGAGGCCACCGGTTTCGCGATATTTCTGCGGATGATCTTAAAAAGACTTGGGAGGAGGATTTCGCGAGGAGCCGACCTCGAGTCGAGGTGGCACTTCGATGTGCCTCCGAATCGGTTTAGAACCGCCGCCTCGACGAGGGGAACGTTTCAGGATTTTCAGCTGTATTCGGCCAAGCCTTCCACTACCCTGGGGCCGTAGTGCGTGCTGGGCTTGGCCTTTCTTTCTTGGAAAAATTATGAAATATCGATATCGAGTAGAGTCAGTAGCTCGTTTCAACGATGAATAAATTAATCAGCTTAGGATTTTTTCAGCCTCTACGACGGTAGGTGCCTTTTCTTGTGGCCGCGTTCTTTGCTGGCCCCCACCCGTCGTCTCCTCCAGGAGCGAGTCGATCGGGTCGGGGCCAGGAGACGTGGTAAACCGAAACTTCGCGAATCCCTTCAATTGCCATCCGCGTTTCGATTCCGTGAACAAGGTTAATTTTTCATTCATTCAACTGGCGATGGCAATCGGAACGTATGAGTGTGAGAACTGAGCTCGGGGGTCGGAGGCATCCCGGGATGCTGTCCCTAGGATTAGGCTTTTTGTCCCCGGGCGGAATGAGAGAGAACCGTGGAGTGAGTGTGTTGGAACGAATGTGTTTTTTCTTTTAGATATAGCTAGGGAGGTAGGTCAGTTGTCTTGAGTGAATGTTTAGATGTAAGCAGGCAGGGCCAGGGCGAGATCTCTTCCTGGGGGTTTGGGAGGAGATCCTGAACCTGGGGTAATTTTCCATCGTCCGCGCTTCCGGAAGCGCGGAGGATGTCCACCCTGTGATATATCCGCGATTGTAACAATTTTCTTTCAGGAATAAAATTAATTAGACCGCGCTTGGGAATCGAATAAATGTGCAATACGCACGGACTGCGCATCCTCGGATCGCAGGTCGTCGTTTTGCTAGCTTATGGATCTGCTCGCGGAGTGATTATTATTATTTTTTTTTAATCCGACAAATTAGGGGATTGCCAAGCGTTCGAGACGTAGGGGGCTCTGCCCGAAGAGACTGCAAGAGTCGAACAGGCTATATGCCGAAGAGGCCCCTTAAGAAGAGGGCAACTACGATGGTCTTCCGTTCTTTCGAACGGACAATCATCATTTTTTTTTGGCCACGTTGTCCCTCCTGTTGTTTTCTATGTCACTTTGTCAGGATTGACGGAGAAGAGACGGCGAACAATCATTTTGATTATATTTTGTCGATTCTACATTTAAATGAATTTTTTCCTACTTAGTGATATGAAAAATACCACTTCAGTCAATTTAATGAGATCGATCTACCATTAATATTCTGAACTTTTATTAACTTATTCGCTGTCTAATCTCAGACTTCCTGGATTTTTTTGAATGTTCTGTTTTGCCTGTTCTTTTGTGCCCCTTTCCAGGTTTAGGTGGATCATTTTCATTAGGCGGATCCATTTTTCTTATTCAAGTCATCATGGGTAGTTCATCGCCACAGAGCTTGCTGTACTTGTTGGTAAAAGATATTGAAGGATGTTTGTTATCACACAACTAAGTTTCATCTTTTTTGGCCATGAAATATCAGAATCTCATCTTTCTGGAAAAACCAATCAGAGCCCTCTGTTATGATGTCGGCAAACTAAATGTTGCTTGTTCACCTCAATTATTACATTTAGCAGTATCCTATCATGTCTTCTTATTTCTATGCTAAGAAATACGAAGCTGCTAGTGTTTATCACTATTTGACTGTATTTGACACATTTTGATGACAGAACTCTGATCCGGTTTGATTTTACAACGGAAGAGTTTTGCAACTGTATGCTATCATGAAAGTTATTGAACTACGACCAAATACAGCCTTAATTAATCAGAATTTTGAAAAGTATCAGTTTTCGGCAGAAATTGTACCCGTTGAAATCGTAACAAGTCTCGAAAAAGGTGAACTTAAGAATTATTTATAATTTGTGCATGGTTTTTACTGATATGTACTTCGTTAATTTATCAAGACATTTAGTCGCGTTTAAAAGATTATCATTAACGAAAAAATGATGTTTTGTCGTTCAATTTATTTATTGATAATTAATAACATTATGAAAGCTTTTAACGATGAGTGAAAATTAATTGTAGATGTCTTTCGAGTGGAAGTAAGTTCGTCTCAAGAGTCATGGCTTGAAGCTAGATTATTTGCATTTCACAATCATCTCTTTAAAAATCCCTTTGATATGTCATGCTGGTTTGTTGACGTGGATGGAAGAGTTTGGCGACTAGAACAGGATGGCACTTTGAAACCTGTTGGGACGATTACGATTCAAAGCGACAAGTACCATGGTTCCATGTACAACCCATCGATTAAATTTGGTTCAAGAAACATTGCGGTGATATCCAATGGTTGTGGAAACTTACAGATTATAATTGAAAATGGTAATGAAGGAACTAAGCCGTTTACTTTTGATATCGATTGTGGTATCGTCATGGATGCACAGCATATAAAGGATAAAAAATTGACAATTGTCACACTATGCAGTGTAGTAGATATTGATGGAAAGAAATGTTCACGAATTACATTACTCTCTTACCTTCATGAAATACAAGAAGATTCAGTAGAAGTGGTAACTTTCAAATCTAAACAGACTCTGAGAGTACGAGGTGCCGTGGAATGCATTTATATGGAAAGAAATGGTAATTACATACAGATTGTTAGTCAAGAGGCTGCAGCTTTTGAACACGACGAATCATCTTCCAATGAAGATAACGCGTCTATGGAAAAAGATGTTGAAGTGGCCAAAACTCCACGCTATTATTGGTCTCAGGATGAAGACACCCTTACAGTGTTGTTTAAGGTACCAAATAACAGTGAGAAAAGTAAACTTAAAATAAATGTAGCTCCATTTAGCATATCCATCTTATTGGATGATATAATATTATTACAAGGGAATACTCGACATAGATTAGAATCAGAATTGACCACCTGGGAACGTGAGAAAGATACTTTAAAAGTTAATCTTTTCAAGTTTGAATGTGGTTTAATGTGGAACGAATTGATCGAAGGGGACATTGGTGCAGAATACCTGCCTAATGAAACATTAGCTGCTGAAATTCACTTAAGGTATCATTGCACTCGCCAATTTAGGTTCGAATTATTATTTAAAACAAATATAACTGCAGCTTCTACTATTCTTAATTTTTAGGTTGGCACATTTGTGTACAGATATGCAAGATAACAAGTCTACAGATCAAGCTGCAATTGGATTCAATGCAGAACAAATGGAAGAATGTGATTTACTAGGCAAAGAACATTGCCTGCAAAGAATTAATTTCAATAGCTATGAAACAACACATTTAATAAATTTTGGTACATACAATACAATACTTTTTACATGCAGCCTAAAACATGGTCAAGCTCTGTGCTTGAGACAAGATCACGATGGCTGTGTATGGGAAACCGAAGAAGTTGATAGTGAAGATTGGAATTTGGAGCATGTACATACCTTTCCAGGATTTGGTTATATCGAAGCCAGTAAAACGAACAAGAAATTCTGCATTTCACCACCTGGTAAGTGTCATCTCGGTTTGATTACTTGAGAAAGATTTCATCCCGGCATATGCATATATTTCAGATTGGTCTTATATTGCCATAATTGAACATACTCGTCATGTATTCATCTACGAAACACCCAAAAAAGATGCACAGGTAGGGAGACAACGAATTCTGGATTTAGGTTGTGAAGCGGCACATATTATGGGTGTCTGTGCTACTAAAAAGTATTTAATTCTATTGACAAAAAATCAACTCTATCACGTACGAGTTAACTCGTAAAGCATGTTAAATTTATTGGTAACAGCCACGTGATTCTCACTTTATACAGTTTAAATAAACTATAGTACAAACGCAATAATCATTATTTTCGTAGTTGTTCTTCGATAACATATAACGATACAGTGGAATTTTCTCTGCGACTCTCCTACTTAGGGTGACAAGTTACACAAACGATCATTAATCAAAAACGTTATACAAACCCAGATCCAACTAATAATTAGTATTCTACGTTTCTTTACTCTTTTCATAAGTAGAGGCTTAATCTAAATGTTTCCAAATTTAAGTAACATCGTCATTTAGCCTTTATAACATTTTCATAATCATGTTATCAAATAATTTTCCTTCTGCATTATTTCAAACTCATTTATCTTTGTTGAATAAGAACTATGGAACTATTTTTAACCAATTAGCGTCATATCCTCAGAAAAATATGACTTGTTGGAATTCTGTCTGTCGTAAAAAAATAGAATGGAGCAACATGCCGTCGTAACATTAGAAACTTTTATTTACATTTGGTTTGATTATATTAAATACTTTATGATTTTCACGCTTACATTATTGGTGTTTTGTCCATCATTACAAGTTCTCTGAATTTAATCTGATGCGGTTTCTACTATTTAGGATAATAGTATAATATGTAATAGCAGTAGAGAAGAAAGCGACAAAAGTCACGCTGGTTTAGATACTGGAATGTATGTACTTTATAATACGAGATACGTGACCGTGTTTTGTTAGTTAAATTTGATTTTATGACATACATGTATGTAGGCATGTATGATTGTGCCATATAGGTAACAGTAATATACCCCTTGAAATTATTTAAATTGTTTAGCATTGTTTGTTATTGATACTGTAAATAATGCACAAGTGTAAGGTTTTATACCTGTTCAAAGCTAAATATTAGGGAGACTGGAAAGTAATGTCGTCTCTGCGCATTAAATTTAATGTAAGAAAACGACATTACATTCCCGCTCCCCCTAATATACTGATTATTAAATATAAAGGAAAGAATAACAAACACTTCTCAAGTTAATGAAATAACCTTATTATGTGTAATATTTACAAAGTATTTACATCGTCTTTTATAAGCTAATTTAATTCATTGTAATTAATGAATACATCCTAGATAGAAATACATAAAGTGAAGTCACTCGATGTAAATTTGCATATTGTATTATTCACATTTAAGAACAAATTAGGTCTCTGTCGAATTTTGACTTTCCATTGGTGATATTTAAACACATGAAGGTTAGATCTGGGTTTGCGTGAATTACTTTCGTTACATTTTTTTTTTTTCAATCACGAATCTAGATGTAGAACAAAACCAATTCGAAAAAGTGAAAAATTCTTCATCCTGTTTCAACTCGTCTTTCACCTATTTCTCTGTAACGAGTTCCAAACAAGGTTTCTTGTTTTATTACATCTTGTGGCCCTCTTATGCTCAAATGAATACTTAGCTTTCTCTTTCATACTGTCCAGTCTTATTGGTAGAATATCACGATTCGTGCTTAACACTATTTATTACGAGCTTTTTCGATAAAATATCGAAGCCTCCTTAGTAAGTTATCTATCGACGAAGGATCATTAGGATCTCTGTTCCAAATGATACGATTTTTGAAGGTTTCCGGAAAATGTACAATGGCTTTGGGCATTCCATGTATGTCCTTTTCATATATCGATAACGGAGTGCCTTTCTCGCAGATATAATAATGTTTTGTACTTTGGCTCAAATGACGTCCATAATTTGTCGGTGTACCCTGTAGGAAGAGCACGCTATTGACTTCAAAGAATTGAGGTTCCGTTTCGTTTTCCTCGGCGTCGTAGGACTCGGGCGATACAAAAGGGAAATAACTCGGAAGTCGGAGGCTCTTTTTGTTTGTGCACAGCTGGTACGGTAACTTGAAATTCTCATTAATGAATAATAAATCTTTGGCGCAGACGCGCATGTTGATATTGTCATTCGGTTTCCATAGCGCTTCGCAGAATATTTTGATCTGCTTATGCCTGAAAAAATATCACTCATACAGTAGAATAAATAACAGAAATTCAGTCTTTAAAAGCGATGAAAAAATGAATAGAGTATTGTCGTACTATTGACATACTATCTTGAACCAAGTAGATTATTGTAAAGGAATAAAAAAACATTAATTGCTTAACAATATTACCAGATACCGCAGATAGTGAGAGTTCTTTTTAAATACAAAGGTTTAATTGGAACTCTGATTGGTTTAATTTATTAATGAGTTAAAAATTTAAATATCCTTGATTTTTCAAACTTACTCACCGGGTGTTTATGTATAATTTGCTCACATCTTCTTCTCCGAGGTAATGAGCATCCAAGATATGTAACGTAGGGACTTTTCGTTGTTTCGAGTATTCACCCCTACAGCTCCATACCATTTCTGCAAACACAAGTGTGCCTCGTGGTAACTCTACGCTCTTGGAAAATTTAGTCCAACGGCCTTTAGTGTAAAGGTAAACTTTGGTTCTTCCTAAACTTATGAAAAATGTCGCTTTCCAGTTTTCGTCATTGTTGGGAGCAGTAGCGCATGGCATGCAGTACCAATTATTCAAGAAATTTTTGAAGGTTGTTTCATCATCTTCATTAAGGATCCTTCCTGTATTTTCTAGCAACTGTGTATTAAACTGTATGTTACGTATAATTTCACGGGGTTCCCCATCACTTGGCTTCGTACGACCTACGTCCTCTAGCTTCCAGTCCTTAAGACTCGCTTCTCGCAATATCGCTTGCCTGTCCTCTATACGATTTGTATCTTCAGAAAAAGTAATCGTTTTAAGCAGGCTTGCAATTTGTCTTCTTCCAAGAGATTCGTTGGACTCGATTACATAGGACAGGAATCTTGTATCCTTTTCTAATTCTGCCTTTGGAACGAGTTCAATGACGGAGAGGTTTGACCCTTTTGCGGAACTCATTTCGAAAATCTCATTAGCTCTGGATAGGTAATCAATAATGTGTTCAACATTAGAGCGTTTTCCTTTACATATCAGATACCTTTCGGAATTAGCCGGTCGTGAAGAATTGGGCTTAAATAGGCAAACTTCCGAAAAACAGCGGTACATGAGATAAACGAGTCCAACACTGAAAGGAGTGAAAATATCGAATAGCTTTGTCACAAAATGACCACCATCTCTAACAATCATCAAGCTAACCAAACACTGGCATAAGTACAACTGTTGCGATAGGATTTCTTGAATGTTCTCCCGGTCCTTTACAGAAAATCCACCATCGGACATCATGAAATGTACTCCTACTCCCTTCGTTTGTCTCATAATCAAATCTCTAAAAGCTCTTTGATTTTCGGAGTCAAACACATTTCCATCATCTTTAGGTCCATAGTAAGGATGAAAAGTTTCGCAGGGTCCAGCATAAAAGTCGTCCAGCTTGAAATCATTTTCCTTCTTTAATGTAAAACCAAATCCTTTTGCATGCCATTTTTTTCTGTACAGTACGTACTCACTGAAACCACCAGGACCGGCACACACGTCAGCAAAGTACAATAATTCGTTACATTTATTTGGCAATCCATTTCTATCCAACACATTTGCATTGGTAAACATAAAGTCACAAGCTTTGTCAATGTTGGCCATTTTAACAGCAGCTCGATTTAAGAAGAAAGCCCCCCTAATGGTTTCAAATGGATTGCATCGCATGTGAGCTCGTCGTTTTCCTAATTTATCTAAGGAACCAAATATATCTTTATACTTCAGAATATCTTCAACTATATCGGCATGACAGAAATCTGCTTCGCCATGTAAAGATTCCTTTGTAGGACCTGTACGCATCCAATCTTTCATTTCATCTTCGAAAGGTAATTCCTTATGTTCATTTTTTAACCAATTCATATCTTCTGGACATTTTACCACTTCGTAGTCTCGGAAATTTTCCCATTTTTCTTTTGCATCTTCTAATCCAGGTACCTCATAACCAATACCTCTAAGATCTTTTTGTGTAGATTCCTTAACAGGTTCTAAACGACCTTGTTCATCTTTTCCTAATCCTTTACCAACCCATCCCATTTTTCTCATCATATGCTCCCCTTTATTTTTTGGAGCCACTTTTGCCTCTTTGAAATGTGAGTTAGAATTACTTTGGGTAGATTCGTAAGTAGTCTTATCTTCGTATCTCATCTTCTTGCTGGTATTCTGCATCAAATCCATTTCATTCGTAAAGGTAGCTGAATACGTTCGTTTTTTCTTCATTTCAGTCTCCGTTTCATTTTCACCGTTGTGCTTAGGACTATACTCACTAGAACTTGAATCTAAAAATAAACATGTATCTAGTTGAAAATATAATTGTCGAAATAATGTGAAAAACAAGTCAATAATAATTTGCATTGCAATGATGTACCAAGCATGTATTGGCTATTCTATGAAATTAAATGAGTACACGTATCTCAGGTAGTAATTCATTAAATTTTAATGCAAGTAATTAGGTTAGGTTATACAATTATTAAAATTACATAAAATATGAATAAATATGCTATTGCTTTGTACTCATATTTGTACTATTAAAGTTATATCCTTAAATCTGTATAAAGCAGTAATATCATACTAACTCCTCAATCGTTAAAAATTGAGAAACAAGATCCAATAAGATATAAAATAGACGGAAATAATAACATTTCTTTACCTATTATAACCTAATTCTGTTATTTTTAATTCTCTAATACTAAATAGTTACATACACACAGAAAGATAAACATAAATTTGAGACCAGGAGCAACATAAGAGGTACGCTATATAATCAGTAAATATGAGCCTAAATCTCTTTTGTTTGTTTTTGATAATCACTTATTTAAACTATTACTATTTATACTTAACGAATACATGGTATAAATAAATTGCGCTCGATCTTAAGATTATTGTCCAATACTTACCGCTTAAATTTGCCTCCATTTTGCGACGGTTGCCTTAGCTACAAGATCGCGAGAAATTGATGAACAGCTCTTAACAATATTTTCAACTTTAATAAAAATTAAGTTGTAAAAAACAGCATCGTAGAATCTTCGTTGAATTCGTCATATTAAACTGTCCATAAACTAAGTCATAATCGACGGATGATGAGAGTAGCCACGACTTGAGGAACATAGTTATAGAACTTATTTCGACACGAACGCTATTATGCCATTATTTCTACGGATGTTTGTGGTACCCTGTACACCCAATACATCATTTCAATAGCGGGACGAAGGATGAGGAACCTAGTAGGTGGGCACTGCCCGTGTGAGAGTTTTAGAGGTTCCTATGAGAGTGTCCGCCCCCTGGAGGAATCCCAAAAACCGATCCCCTTCAATTTTTACAAATTTTAAAATTATCTGTAATATATATAAAATATATAAATATAATATCGGAGATGAGGTGGGAGATTGCTCACGGGCAAAGTGCGCTATCGGTCCTGTGCTGCCTCCTGGTGGAGGGTATGAACGGTTAACGTACTGGCCTCACTTTACCCCAGGTTCTCTCTGATAAACGTGAATGTGAATAAGCAATCTCTTCTCTCACATTCTCTATGGAAAAGAATTTTGTGGAATCCATGGTCGTGTCGATCAGTATGTATGAAAGCGGCATTGAAAAATAGTAATCTTGTTTTTAATAAGCGCCAGTAATGGCAGCTACTCTTTGTGCGAAGAGACTGGTCTCAGCGAGATTCAGTCTTCTTAAAACTCCTAAACGAAATGGTTACGTAGTGCTGTAAGTATTTTCGACCGATCTTCTGTTTCTGTTGAGGTTATATCACTTTTTATGATACAATTACAATTTTTAACTCTGTATATACGTTGTGTCATCTTTGCCTCAAAAGTGTTCCCGAAATTGGTGAGGATTTGCCAGAAAAGAATCCTCTATTGAAGGAAGACGGATTGCCAGAGTTCAATCAATTTACAATCGAAAAGTGCATCGCTACAATTTGCAGACAGACGGTCGAGTTTGAACAGGAAGTCAAAAATGTGGAAAAGTACATACAAGGTAATTTTAATGGTTATCGAGTCTGGAAAAATATCCATCACACCTGGGAGTAATATGTTATAATACTAAAGGTATTCTTGGTTTTATCTTATTGATCGTAACTGTTAAATTGTTTTTCATTAATCGATAGCACACGAAGAAGTTGATTTATTTAAGGATGCTTTGGGTCCCATTGAAGAGCTGAAGGATCCTTTGGAGACAACTTGGGGTATATCAAAAGTATTGTTTTATGGTAATCAGAGTTTGATGCCTACAAAGTATTACTACAAACTTCATACTCGAGCCGTTAAGTCGATTGGGCAGAGATTAGTGAGCGTACCCATTTATCGATTATGTAAAAAAGTTCTTGAGAATGATAAAAATGGATTAACAGAGGAACAGATGGTTATTGTACGTAAATATGTACTTGAAGGTAGATTAAATGGTATAGATATCACAGGCAGAAAGGTCAAAACATTTAATTTCGATTTACAAAGGATTTACTCCTTTCGTGATGAATTCAATGAAAAACTAAAGGTTTGTACAAAATATTGTAGTATTACTGATAGTATGGGAACGATATTAACATAAATAACATTACAGATATCAACAAATTTATTTAAACATACGATAGATAATCCAAATGTTATGAAGGATTTTCCTGAAGATTTCCTGAAACTAATTGCATTAGATCCATCGCAACCATATAGAGGACCGTGGACAGTGACATTGAAACCATATATTTATGAACCATTTTTAGGTGTGTACAGACAGAAACTTAAAATTAAAAATAGAATCTTAAATTTGAAAATTAAGTCCTGATATTTCTATATGTCCTTTCAAACATCTCCCTTTTTAAATGTTTAGAGTATTGCCCTGATCGTGATATGAGGTTGAACATATGGGAAGCAAACGTGACACGGTCGTCATTGTACAATGACTCTTCGCTACAAACAAGTACCCCACTGGAAGAAATTAGGTTTATGAAAACTGAACAAGCTCAAATATTGGGTTATAAGCATTATGCCCACATGAGCATGGAGACCAAAATGGCTGGCAGCTTAGATGTTGTTTATAATTTTCTAGACACACTTTTAGCAACAGGTATGTAACTACTTAAGGCATTTTGTTAACAACTACCTCTATATATTATTAATCAGATTTGTAATCTCTAAAACGCATATGCAGCTCGTCCAGCCCAAGAAGAAGAATTAGCATCTCTGTCTGAATTTGCTGCAGAACGAGGGTTTAATGGACACCTTAGACAATGGGATGTTCCATACTGGAGCAGGAAGCAATTGCGTAGTGTACATAAGTAATTTCAATTTGTGAAAAAAGATATATTTGAGTCACGTGTAGAATAACTTATAGTAATTTAAATGTTATTTCAGCTATAAGGAAGAAGTGATACGAGAATATTTTTCTCTACCGAATGTACTGGATTCCCTCTTCCAGCTCTTAGAAACGCTATTTGATTTAAAGATTGTAGAAAATAAGAGAGTCGATGTGTGGCATCAGGACGTAAGGTTTTTTAACATTTTCGACTTAACTGAATCCAGCATTGAACCAGTTGCAGGTATTTACCTAGATCCTTACGCTAGACTAAAAGGAAAAGTGGATTTACTAGGAAGCGAAGGGTTGATGATAACAATGAGAAGTAAGTGTCCAAGCACACAGAGCACGCCTCTGGCTGCTTTGATATTTTGCTTTCAACCTCCAAGTGATGGGAAACCTTCTTTGCTCACTTTTAAAGAAGTTCTTGCTCTGTTCGAGAAGGTATAATAAATTAAACGATACACTTATGGTAAAGGAAAATCTGAACTACAATTCTTATTCGTTTCCATTCATTTTTCAGACCGGACTTGCACTGCAGCATTCATTAAGCAAAGTTAATTACTCCGAGGTAGCAGGTTCAACGAATGTCGAATGGGATATTGTCAAGACTAGCGGGCAGCTCTTGGCAAATTGGTATGACATTAGTATTTTCGAAGTATGATATTTCACAATTACCTTGAAATGTTTTAACTGTCCGACCTTTGGGGAATCCTAAACTTAAAATGATATTAAAAATACGAGGATACGTCTTTTACTGGTAGGAGTCTAAAATTGCTAATATTTTTCTTACTGTCGTAAATAGGGCTTATGAACCATCTTTAATAAGACAGTTTGGTACTCATTATAAGACCGGAGAGCAGTTGCCCGATGAATTGGTTGAATCGATTAAATACATTAAATTGCATTTAGCTGGTTACAAACTATGCCAAGAACTGTATTTGTCTCGATTTGATCTCGAACTATACTCCAAGTAAGTAATACTAAATTAGTCTTGAATGCAATACATTTATACATTAAATATAATTTATTTCAGAGAGGAATTCTGGGTACCGATGATGAAACGTCTTTGGAAAATGCATTTTGTCATCCCCGAGTACAGAAAGGATTCTCATATTTGTTCATTCAGTGAAATATTTACTAGCGAGTGGGGAGCAGCTTATTACAGGTAATACAAGATACTGATTATACGAGTCCCCTCTTTATTAACAGAATTTCTTTTCAGCGGAATTTGGTCTCGAATGATCGCGGCTGATATATACAGCGCATTTCAAGAAGTACCCGCCGGCGATAAAGCTGAGAAGAAAAAGATTGCGGAACGATTTCGCGACACGTTCCTGTTTTTAGGGGGAGCTTACAAGGGAAGAGAAAAATTTCGACGATTCCGAGGTAGGGATCCTAATCCGACAGCCCTCCTCAAAAGCCTAGGATTAACAGCACAAAGAGACCTCGACAAGTAACTTTTTGGTAAGCAATCGAGATGACAGTACCGCGCATTACGAAGAGTATGTATACAACTTCTTACAACCCCGACAAGAATTATGTGAGCGTACAAGACTTTGTAGAAATTAGATATATATTACTATATTATACCGTTTATACAATGTTACATGTCACAAGGTAAAGCCAATGCTAAGCGTAACAGTAGTGCATTCTTGTAAAAATATCAATTTATTTAAGTGAATGTCCGCAACTGCAAAATCTGATCTTTATCAAACTAATTTAAGGGAATAACAAATTTCAATCGGTGAATTATGCTACTAATTTGTAATTGTTATGATATTAAAACAACCTAGAAATTACGCATTTTTAACAATACTTAGAAGCCAATTATCTTAATCTCCGTTATTAATTCCGTTGATACCACACCTCTGATAGGGCCTTAATTACTTACATTTAAGTAACTGGATAAAAATTTCTTTCTAAATGCAAGTTAATCAATCATTGGTCAATTATGTGTTATATTCTCAGCTCAGAATTCAATTGTTTTCAAGCAGTAGTTATTCAGGCTGGTGGACTTTGTAACACAAATTTTTGCAAATACACGTTTTATACCATCATTAAAATTGATAAATTTTATCAGCTTAATATACTTAACATGAAAAATATATTAATAACATATGATCATGACGGATACACACAGAGATCCCTTCATACTATTACAAATTATCCAAAATTATAGACATCTGTTTGTATAATTATTCTAGCTAGCATAGTTTAAAAGTAAGTAGTGCACTGCACTGTATACGTTATACCGTTATGCCAAAGCAGTCGCGATAATACTGATAAAAAGTAAAATTATGATAACCCAATAGATACAGACGGAGTCTGACCAATTAGTCCTTCGTATATGTCGCGTGCCATCGATTAAACGTTCATCGGTTTTCTCCATATGATCCGCTAGATCTTCGATTATCTCTGGAACCAGATTAAATTTATTACTAGGGTGCTCAAATTTACATAAATGTCTATAAATTTCAATATATTCCATTGAATTACCATTTTGATGATCCACTTCACTATTAATAGCCTGTGCAATATTCTTCTGTCTAGAAATTACTTTCGATAATTCCGCTAAACCATCTTCTTGTTCTATAAGAGATATAATGTTGAAATAAAGTCGTATATTTTAAAGTAATTAGTAACTAGCCAAGTTACCTTGTAGCATTTGTTGTTGTCGCTTCTTTAAATCATCAATAGATACGTGTACATCAATTGGTTGATCGTCGTCGTTGTCGATACCCCAACTAGTTGTCCCTCTATCTGCAAATGCTGATGTACTAGACCTCATTAAATCGGCACGTGCTACAGCCAAGTCTGTAGATCTCGATTCGTATAATCGTTGTAATTGAACTTCTTTGCTTTCCAATTGTTCAATCTGTCTTGACCTACGTTCAGCTTCTTCTACAGTACTGAATACATTATTAATTTAAGGAATATTATGCAATATATCAAATTTTAAGACTTATATATTTGCTTCTAAAGTATCTAAAGTTAGAAATATGTTCGTCATAGAAGGATACATTGTTCTAAACTTTGAAGCCTCTTCGACTTTCTTCCTTAACTGTCTTACTTCAGCGTTGTACTGCTTCATCCGAAAACGGATGTTCGCCGATAAGGCTGCAAATGCTTGAGAAGTTCTCACTTCTCGATTACGCATCGTCAGTTCTTCCATGATATCTCGAAAAAGCTTCTCGCAGGCATCATACTCCAATAACCTAATGCACGAGTAATGTAAACATTTTGAAATCATCTAATATAAATTGAGAACGGTATAACTGAGATATTATCATACTCTAAAATATAACAGGGAAATTGTGTACAAATAAAGTTCATCGTTGTAACGTACCAGGGATCATTGTCATCGATACGGATAAGAGCCATCCTTTCAATGACCCTTAACCTCGTTAATTAACAATTAATAATTCAGCCCTAATATTTTTCTAGTCCTCGGTGCCACTCGTACCTAATGGTAAACTACAAATATAGATAGTACGGTTCACACATCACGAATTTTGTAAATAAAATTCCGGATACTCAATTATTATCTAATAATTGCATTAATAATAAACGACACGATGAAATGACAGATTTTGGTTTGTTTCTATTGGCACATGTGCAGTGATAAAACTTCAGTCGCTCTGTAAATATTAAACATGTCAAATGTAGAGGCACGTTCGACTTAACAAATAGCCACAACAAAAAAGCAGCACCATCTGTCGTACGATGTCTCGAAGCTGGTCCACGAAATTTCAAATATGAACCACGTACGATCTGATGGTAATTCTTAATATTCATGTTTAGCCTTATCGCAGAAATGCAGTAGATAACAGCACGTGCACACTTCCTGTACCTAAGCTGCATATTATTGAAACTTGATATAACCACTGTTTAAACATGTAAAATAGTTTCCCAAAGACAGTATTTCTTGCATACAGATGTTCTACTTTTATTTAACTTTGAACTAACGTAAGGCTCCTTATTTTCAAGAGATAGCACGAGACTTCTGCTCGATGATGTATTTTTAATTGAAACCCTCGATATAGAGGGAGCACGAAAGTTAATTAAAGTTAAATTCGAAACTGCCTGTATTCCATTATAACATTTTATTTAGCGCAAAGTTCGTGAGAAAATCGTAAGAAAATCGACCACCACGAGACTTCTGCTCGATTACGTATTTTTAATTGAAACCCTCGACATAGAGGGAACACAAAAGTTAATTAAAGGTAAATTAAAACTGCCTCTGTTCCATTATAACATTTTATTTCGCGCAAAGCTCCTAATGGTATTACAATTCCTAGAACATGAACCTTAGAAAATGCTTAATAAGCCACTAATCAAGGAGCATATGCACCGAGAGCAGATGTTTCCGAACACCAATGTCCTTCCAGTCCGATGATACCATCGACTTAATTATATTCCTTAAACTCCCCTGAACGCAATATTACCATACGAGTTTCCTTCCTTTCTCCTTTTTTTTCGGTGCATTCGGTCTCATCTTGCAATTCGAACGTTGCAGTATTGCAGATGGAATCTTGTTACGTCAGTCCATTTCGATCGGACGATGAGGTCCATTGACGTCACAGGCCGAATGCATTTAATCCCTCCCCGCGGCGCCTTTCTGCCGCGGTTCTCGATGCGTTCTTTCTGCATCTTTTAACATGCCCATTAACGACAGCACGCTCCGGAAATAATTAACCGCCCGTCCTCGATTAAGGAGTCCAAATAGAGAAATAATCGGCTCGATTGAATTCGTTAAACGGGGAATGTTAATTATCTATAACTTCGCAGAAGGAGGAGGCTGATGAAGATCCCAGGCTCGGCGGATGATCGCATCGTCGCACTCGAGAAGTTTAAGGGGATCTGTGTCTGAAATGGCACCCATAAATACCACGTGAGAAAATCGACCACCGCGAGACGGGTGGGTGCGTCAGTTATTCGGTGGGAATGATAATAAGGTAAAAAATCCAGACCCGCTTTTGGGCCGTATCAATGAGGGACGTACCGCCGGTTTTTAGATATCGACCCAGAGGGCCCGAAAGAACCGAAACTGGTATGGCCATGTTCAGATGGGGATAGAGGCCGGAATCGCTCCGAACATTGCTGACCATCATGCCGATCATCTCGCCGGTTGACCACCGGATGACCGGTCCACCGCTGGTGCCGCTTTGCACGCAGCAGCTGGTCTGGACCATGCACCACGACACCCGGGAGACGTATCCTCTGGAAATCGTCGGCTCCGTCGACGGGAACAACGGGAATCCCACCAGGGCCACTGGCTCGCCTGGAACAAGGTTCTCCATTCATAAGTCCCTTTCCAGGCACTTATGGTGATATAAAACGGTACTTCTATATATAAGTCGACAAAATATTAATGAAACTTTTCTCCAAACTAGGTGTATGGATCATTTGATATCTCAACACGTGATTGTGGAGGTCCTGGGGAAGAACGCGATGTCGGAAATATCTAATAACGTAGACACTGGGATAATCAACCAACTGTCCACCTTTCCAGGCACTTATCGTGATATGAAAGGGCATTTCCAAATATAAATCGACAAAATATTAATGAAACTTTTCTCCAAACTGAGTGCACCGATCATTTGAAATTTCAACACGTGATTGTGGAGGTCCTGAGGAAGAACGCGATGCTTGTAAAATTTCCTAGAGCACCGTCGTAGGTGAGTTCAACTTCATTCTGGTATCACCAGGGAACATCGGAGGACCCAACGTCGACCGAATTATCTCTGCAGCGCAGAAGTCGGTCGATTCATTACGTGGTCATCGTTGGATGTCTTACCACGCAGAACGGGGCCACTCGCGGTGTTCATATTCCTCAGCAAGGGGTCCTGAGTCTCCTCCGGGTCGACACGGAGGATAGCCACGTCGTAAGGTTTGTTGTAGGTCGTCCTATAAACCAATCTCGCGACCGCGGAGGACGAGGACCGCCCGCGAAGAGACCGCCTCAACGTCACCCTAATGCGTCGACCCGGCGCCTAGGAAGGAGGAATCAAATCCTACAAACTCGTTATCTTATTTTTTTAGAGAGCTGACGTTTCGGGACGCTTTCCTCACACCTTTTTGACGACGTGGGAGCAAGTGAGAATCGTGCCCGTTTCCTTGCACAGGAGAATTCCGCTTCCCCAATCGGAACCGCAACGAACGACCACCACACTTCTCTCCGCCAAGTCTGTCGAAATTGTAAGGACTTAGAGGTCGGATCGGCTTGATAAAGAAGAATGATTTTTCTAGGGTTACCGTATAATCGAGAGTCTACTGACTGCTCGTCGGCGAGGTCTAATCCCGTGACTTGTCGCAGGCAAGGGGACAGATTTGCAACCAAGGTGAAGTCCACTCGTTCGCCGTCATAGCTGGTGGAGGACGCGATCACCATTCCGCAGATTGATCTGCTACCATGGAGAAGAGTGTTCATTAACTGGGTCGTTCCTTTATCCGACGAATCTTTGTAATGGCTCGTGTCCAGGTGTAAGGACAACTTGCGAGAGCTGCTCACGGACAGTTCCTTCCATAGCGTACATGGCTTTGGAAGAGAGCTTGTGCACATTTATTGACAGGGTACCCGCAAATTCTAGCTACTCTAGGAAGAAACGTCGCACGTGGACCCGAGCCACGAGTGTAGGAGAGTTCTGTCATTCAGCTTGATCATTTTATTTAGGTATTTTCATCGACTCTTGGAACTTACTTTGCACCGCTGACGTAGACGGGTCCACCTACTGAACTTGGATAAGCAATCGCGTCCGTAAGTAGGATCGATCCTTTGGATCCGAGGATTTTACTGACCACTCCTACCCCGACCGATCCAATGAATACTGGATTGCCAAAAGGAGTGGACTCGACTTCCACGAGAGAACCTCTGCCGGGATATACCATCTTCCTGGACAAGTTTCTTAGTACCTTTTGGATAGTCGAGGGTTCAACGTCGGCCGTTTTCTCAAGTTTTATCAGCAAGAACACGGGGAGTAGTTTCTTCGTGTATCGAGTCTCGTTCCCCACCTTCCATCCGCGAAAGTCATCGTCTAGGGTATCCTTCAGAAGAGGACATCTCCAGGCTGCCGCGATTACTCCTTCTCGTTCGAGGAGGGCCGACTCCTCTTCGAGGTTCGTTTCCGGATTTTTTAACTCTTCTCTGATCACCCGGAATGTCGACTCCTCTGCGATTTCTTCTTTGGCGAGCACCAAGTGTCCTGATTCCAAATTCGATATGAGTTTTAGGGTCTTGGGACATGTAGCTAGACAACCTTCTACGGAGGATCCGTGGGTCAAGACCCAGTTTTTGGATATCAAGGCACCGGAAGAGGCAGCTACTTCTCTGGTTCTTCTCGACGTCCAAGTATGCAGTAAAAGCACACTTTCAGGCTGCGTTTCTTCATCTACTGATCGGTCCTCTGGCATGATTATCTTCCTGAAAAACAGAGGAATTAATTTAACTTGCAACTCACATTATTAACACATTCGCGACCGGCATATCTTTTCCGTTTCAAATACCGAGTACCGGCGAAAATAATGAAATTCTGAAACTGGTTGTCGCAAACTTGTATCGTGTATCGTCATGGACGTGATTCACGTCAGCGGCAATCAGGAATAGAATTTAAAATGACGTGAATTCACGTCAGCGGTCGCGAATGTGTTAAGGTGATATGAACGTTGTCATACATACATATCAAAAAGTGAAAATATATATAAAACTTTTCCCCAAATTGGGTGCACCGAATTATCTGAAACTTTAACACGCGATTATGGAGGGCCCTACGGAAGAACGCGATGCTCGTGAAATTTGATTTATCGAAAAAGAAAAAATGTTTTCCTGTCTCTTGTCCGAGATAAATGCAGAATTTTTTTGTCGATAAATGAAATTTCACTAGTATCGCGTTCTTCCTTAGGGCCTCCATAATCTCGTGAGGAGGTATCGAATGATTTGGTACATCCAATTTCGAGTAAAAAGTTTTATCAATGTTGTCACGTTTTGATATATAGCATGACCCTTTCATATCACCTTAATCGCGATTCTACTTCGGAGGGGTGATATTATATAATGTATTTCAAGGTGTAAACATTCGAAGGGTAGATTTCTCATGAGCATATGTCGGCAGCGTTGAAGTTCTCCGATTCAGGAGTGAGCATCGTGCAAGACTAGTTTCGGAGTAAAAAGTTTTATCAATGTTGTCACGTTTTGATATATAGCATGACCCTTTCATATCACCTTAATCGCGATTCTACTTCGGAGGGGTGATATTATATAATGTATTTCAAGGTGTAAACATTCGAAGGGTAGATTTCTCATGAGCATATGTCAGCAGCGTTGAATTTCTCCGATTCAGGAGTGAGCATCGCGCAAGACTAGTTTCACTTATTCGCTCGTCACATTCGTAATACAGGCGATAATTGATGGTCGGCGTAACAATTGCCGCACGGAATTGGGTAGGGTACATTATCGTTTATTGCGATCGCTCGACGATCCAATTTGCTCGTCGCGAGAACGTCGCAATAATCGGGGTAAAGAGATATGACGGTGCGTCAAGTGGCGCGAAGTTCTCCTTAGCTCGACCTCCTTTTCTCGAATTGCGTCTATTAGTTCAGCGATACCTCGCTGAGTGGCGCACTTAATATACCTAGCGAATCGATGTGCCGATACTATTGAACGATAAATCAGAAATTATTCCCGCTTTTTTCGAGCCTTCATGAGCCGTAGGAGTAATCGGCAAGAATTATGCAGAACAATATACAAAATCATGAATTAAATAATGAATTAATTCTCATTAATTCTCAATCTCTAGCCAATTAAGGTGATTTGAAATATGAAATATACATGTATATAAAACGTTAAAATATTTATATTTTTCTCGAACCCGATTGCACCGAATCATTTGAATCTTCAGCACGTGATTATATGGAGGCGTTAAGGAAGAACGCGATGCTCATGAAATTTCATTTAAAGAAAAAAATATATATATATGTATTCTTGGTTCCAGTATGAGATAAATGGAAAAATGTTTGTATAAAAAAAAAATGAAATTTCACGAGCATCACGTTCTTCCTTAAGGCCTCCATAATCACGTGTTAGTGTCAAATAATTCGGGGCACCCAGTTTGGAGAAAAGCTTGATAAATATTTTGACGTTTTGATATATGTAGGGTATAAATTAATACTTGAGGTGATATGATTAATTTCTCTATCTTAACAGGGATAGGAGCGGCGTCGGATTCCCTAGGAGTGCCCCATAACTGCGGGAGGAAACTCATGGGGTATTTCCCCATACTCGTGAAAGAGTTAAAGATTCGAGGAATAAGGAGAGCGTCAAATAATTCGAGGCACTTAGTTTGGAGAAAAGCTTGATAAATATTTTGACGTTTTGATATATGTAGGGTATAAATTAATACTTCATGAGATGTGATTAATTTCTCTATCTCAACAGGGATAGGAGCGGCATCGGATTCCCTAGGAGTGCCCCATAACTGCGGGAGGAAACTCATGGGGTATTTCCCCATACTCGTGAAAGAGTTAAAGATTCAAGGAATAAGGAGAGCGATTAGTCGGCTTACTCTAATTCAAGTCGTCGGAAGAAGAAGTACCGACCGATCGTGAGTCACGAGCCAATTGCAGATAATAGGAGATCGGCATTGACGGGAAGATGACGGCGGATCGGGGAATGACTTGCAGGGATGACTTTGAAAATAATTCCGAGTGACTAAGCGGCGCCAAGGTGCGGTGCACGGGTATGCACATCGTCCTGTCGAGGACTCGATGCGGATTAATGACTATTACGGCGATGTCAAGTGCCGGTCTATTTGAATAAGACAAAAGAATTCCATGACGAAGAAGCGCGCGCCGTCTTCTGGCTACGCCATTTGAAATCGCTCCTCGAGACGATTCTGGGACGATTTGTCGGATTCAGAGATGACGATGGCTCCATTCATGCCCCACTTACGTCGGCATTTCGCAGTTGCAGGGAATATCGAGTTGCATCGACAATGAAAAGCCCCTCGTCATATATCCTACGTCATCGAGGGTCAGGGGGACTCTTACAGGGTTATCGAGTCGAAGAAAATGTATAAGGACATGTAGAAGAATATGTAGAAGAATATGTAGAAGAATATGTAGAAGAATATGTAGAAAAATATGTAGAAGAATATGTAGAAGAACATGTAGAAGACTGTATAGAAGAACATATAGAAGAACACGTAGCAGAACATGTAGAAGAATACGCAGAAGAACATGTAGAAGAACACGTAGCAAAACATGTAGAAGAACATGTAGAAGAATACGCAGAAGAATACGCAGAAGAACACGTACAAGAACATGCCGAAAAAGATCCCCCGTTCGTGAAAAACCTCGCGAAGACCCAGAGGCGAGCCCAGGAAAACCAGCCGGCCATGATCGAGGGATCTCCTTACGAGGCGTTGAATCATAAGTATCGTCGAGATTGAAAAATGATTTCACCGAACCCTACACCGGTGTAGACCGATGCGGGAGATAACGCGGATGGAGACCAGGGATCCGTTCCAGCGTTATCTGATAGACGGCTCTTCTAATCGAGGATATTTTCACGCTGCTACACCTGCGCGCCGGTGTCATTAAGTAACATCATGGTAGACCACGGATCGTGGGAAAAAAGAAAAAGAAAAAACAGAGGGAAAATCCGCTCCGCGACAATCCTTACGAGTAAATATAGCTCTGATGCAGCTGCAATTCGTTCCCCCGGTGCAGCTGTGTTGTGCACCTGAGAGTGCTTCGGTTGTAATTCCGGCCACCCACTAGGTAAAGAAATCGGAAAAAAATGCTGAAACGTGAATATGATCAATTGATCGCGATTGAGATCACTGATTGGTTGTTATTCTATTACAGGTAACGCGTAACAGGTGATAGGCGGAATTGGTAGGCCGAGGAGTTTCCACATTACGGGATTCGCTCGCAATTTCCCGACGCATTCTCGAGCACTTCGGCCGATGCAACGTCGGTCGGAAGGCTTATCCCTGAAGAGGAAATGAGGAGTCGAAGAAACGGCGATCGGTAAGAACGTTCCTTGCCAAGGCGTTCCGGGCCGCTGGACTAGTTTTTGCTCGGTGCCCCGGTAGACCGCTTGGCACCGACGACACGAGGCTCGTTATTATCCTCGTCTAGCGACCGCGGTATTTGCTCCATCTTCTCTCCTTTTTTCCCTGCCCTACCCTCTACTTCGTGGATCATTCGCGGTAAAGAATATCTCGTGAAAAAGGAGCCCAGGATCCACCGTTTCGCCCCGTCCTTTAGACACGTCGCGTCCCAGAGTGACCAGTTAGTCCAATTGCGCCCCTCGATAAAAAAAAAGCGAGATTTCAAAGAAACCTTTCCCTATATACTTTCGAAAAGCAAGAAAGTACCCTTTCCCAAAATCATGCCACCCAACTGACCAATAATTTTTCCCACTACTTCTTACAATTCACGCATACTCATGTAGAACACTACCTTGGCGAAAACATGGCGAAATATTGGTCCATTACGTGAATAGCCAATATCCCTAATAGCAGAAAATATTTCTCTTATATTTTCCATATATTTAACAAATGTCATAGATCTTGCAAATATTTACCAGACGTTCGAAATATTTTCCTAAAAGCGCTGAAAAGAAGCTTAAAAGGGGGTATTGTTGCTACGATACATCTTTTATAGCTTCTTTTAAGAATTTTCTATAATAGTGGTTTAAAAGCGACACATGAGTTGGGTTGCTTTGAATTGTGCTTTAAAATACGTCTTTTAATGCTAAAACTGAGATATGAGTAAGCGCGTATGTTACTAGGGAAGATGGCGGCGGTTGGTGGAGGCGCCGAGTTCTATCAGCGCGTGTTGCAAATGGCGCACAAGCAATCCCCGCAGGTCCATCTGATCCATCTGAATTATAATTTGAGTGACGAACGTATGCGAAAGTTTTGCGTATCGGCACATCATGCCCATTCCAGCAGGAGTAGTAGAAGAGCGACGAGTAGAGTCAGCCTTGGGGCGACTTTGAGGGACAAGATGGCGGCCGTGGATGAACTCCAGACAAAATCCGCCGCCTTCGCGTTAATCTTCAAAGGTATGCATAATTCGTCCAAAGCTTCCTTCTCCCGTACCGATTCTCCGAATTAAACGATCGGTCACGATCGACCTTCCATTTCCGCAGGACGCGGGGGCGCATGTGCCGAAGCGTCGGCGCGCAATGGGTGCATTCGGAGGAGAAAAGCAGTTACCGATGAGTTGGGAACATGTTGCGATTTTCTGCTGAATGGACTGTTCAGTGATCATAATATGGCGGCATATAAATATATCAATTATATTAATTATATTAGCAGTCAGTGCTTACAGTACATGTACGTCGTGTATTATTTCAGCTACTTCATTACCTGAAGGATTTTGCACCTTTTCGTTACATACACCAACAACTTCTAT